ATAATATATGTAATTCCTTTATGCTTGTGGGTAAACAGTATTCCTTGTTGTTGATGTGGAGATTGTCTGTTTTGCCTACTCTGGAACATGCAACATATAATTGTCATTCTTTAGGGGTCCCTTTCAAATCTATGATTCTATATCTCTCTGTGTGTGAATCATATCTATCTATCTATCTATCTATCTATCTATATCGATCTATCTATCTATATCTATGGCTGGATGGCTCTTTGTCAGGAGGACTTTGATTACGTTTTCTTGCCCTGATGAAGGGAGTTGAATTGGATGGCCTTAAGTATTTTCTGTTGGTCATGGGGGTTGTGTGCGAGAAGTTTGCCCTTATTCTGTTGTTTGTGGGGTTCAGAATGCTCTTTGATTGTAGGTGAACTGTGAACCCCAGTGACTACAACTCCCAAATGTCAAGGTCTATTTCCCCCAAACTCCATCTGTGTTCATATTAGGGCGTATTGAGTGCTTATGCCTAATATGGTCCAGATCCATCATTGTTTGAGTCCACAGTGCTCTCTGGATGTAGGTGAACTACAACTCCCAAACTCAAGGTCAATGCCCACCAAACCCTTCTAGCGTTGTCTGTTGGTCATGGGAGTTCTGTGTGACAAGTTTGGTTCAATTCCATCGTTGATAATTTTAATTTGTAATTTGTAATTTTAGAGTTTTTTAATACTGGTAGCCAGATTTTGTTCATTTTCATTACAACAGCAAAACAGCATAGAGGAAACAACCAGGCACATCTTAACACCTCTCAACAAAAGGTTTTCCCAGGCTCAGCCAGGCCTTCAAATGCTAATGAAGGTGGTCAGTTGAAACATTCACACCTAGCTCCAGCAGAGAAGAGCTCTTTGCCCCACCCCTGCCATTCCACAGATATATAAACCCATTGTCCCAATTCCAACAGACCTCACCTCTGAGGATGCTTGCCATAGATGCAGGCGAAACGTCAGGAGAAATGCCTCTAGAACATGGCCCTATAGCCCGAAAAAACCCACAAGAACCTACCACAGTCTCTGTTTTGTCATCTTGGCTTCTACGGAGAACTCAGTTTTGAGTTGTTCTAGGACCATTCATTGGTCTTGTTAGCAGTTCACTATATCTGTAGAACTCTTTCCAGCACCCTCCAAATGAATTTATATCCTTATCACCTCTCTTCACTGTCCAGCGTTCAGACCATACATAGAAACAATCTACCATCAAAGTATTCAGCCTCCTTGGTATTCATCCTCCCAAAATCCTTTGGAATTTTTTGTACACTTTTACCATGTCAAGAGTTTTTAAATCTATATAATTAAAAATGTAATGTTCATTTGTGGGATGAACATAACTCAAAAACCACTGGACGAATTGACACAAAATTTGGACACAATACACCTAAAAGTCCAACAAGTGTCCATCACCTCTAAAAAACACACACAGAAAATCCCAGTGGAGCAGACTTAAAACCCCCCAAAATACACCATATATGCATATACACACACACTCATATATATATATACATAAACACATTTGTGTATGTGTGTGTGTATATATATGTATATATATGCAAAACACACAGATATCTACATATACACATGCATACATATACATACACACATATTCACATGCACACACAAATATACATATATACACACACATACAGATACACATGCACTGTGCTGTCGCATGCTGGGCCAGAAATAATGTCTGTTTACAGGACGTGCCTTCTGTATGCCCAACAGGACGCCGGGGTGCCTCAGCTGAAGGGCCCCTTGGATTTCCCAACACAAAGTTCTATTGAGGCTCAAAATAAGTTCAACAACGTTCTTTATTTGGGCTTAAATCTTCAAACAAATGAATTAAACACTTTATAACTTTGGAAACCGGTAGCTTCCTCAATCCGCCATCAAGGGCAGGCAACTGGTGGTAAACTGTTCCTTTCTTCCTTAGGGAAATTTTCTGACCCTCCTTGGGCAATCTTTCTCTGCCTTGCTGGCGTGAGGCCCCTACTCCCAGCTGAAAGCTACTTTATGGATAGCCCGAGTGGTCCCTTACCAGACAAGATTTCTGTAGATCTGCTAAGCTGAAAGGTGTCCTTTAGTTTTACTCCACCAGGCTGTAGGAACTGTCCTGTTGCCCCAGAAAAGGCTGGCTGTATTCCCCCAGCAAAACCTGTGGAACTATTCCTTTACTCCCCCAGCAGAGCTGTGAGTAGTGAAGCCTTTGTGCAGGCGGGATAGAGAAACCCACATGTCCTGCTGTTAGGCTCCAAACAGTGAGACTGAACAAAAGTCCTCCTTTGCCTCCAAAACCCTGGGAAAATGGCGGGTCTAAAGACTCTAACGATGATTGCCAGGTTGCTGGCCCTATGACTGCAACCTGGGGAAGCTACATGATTGCAAAATGTGTGGCTAAATAAATTCATACAAACTAGCAGTGCAAGAAAAAGAGGTTCAAATCTCCTGGCACTGGTGTGCCAGCACATGCACACATGCATGCACACATACATATATACATATACACATACATACACACAAATATGCATATAGACAAGCACACATATATACACAATATGCATGTACATATATAAACACGCAAATACACAAATATATACACATGTGTATATGTATATGAGTGTATGTGTGCATATATATACACACACACACATACACATGCAAACACACATATATACACAAATACACACACACACAAAACACATATACACAGACTGGGCCACAACAATGCGTGGTAGGGGACAGCTAGCGAATTAATATAATTCCATGTATTGTACACCTATTCATTTATAGTTTTTGACTTTTCACTATTAAACTATGTTGCTCAACAAACACTCACTCTCAGCTGATATTAGGAGAAACACCATTTTTATTTCAAGGCAGCAACATGATGAGGGAGGGAAAAAATAGGAGTGTCAACGGGTGAAAAGTCTGTGCAAAGACCAAGCAAGGAAAATGTTATAATACAGCTTTGAAAACAAATGGGCAAGCATTTATCAGAAGTTGGCAAACAAAAGACAAGAAACTTTGTGTATTCTTTAAATCAACCTTTCTTAACCTGGATGTACCCTTGAAATTATCTTCAGGTATCAGCGAACCCCTACATAAAAATATTGCAGCTACAGATTAAAACATATTTTTTATTTCCATCACAATTTCTTGCAGAACCCCTAGCAACCTCTCACATAACCTTCAGGTTTCAAGGAACCCTTCTTTAAATAGCAACAAAACTCATTTGAATATACATAGAATCATAATTAGTGTTAGCAACACAATATTTTTGAAGAGTTACAAAGTGCTACTGAGTAGTCACAATTGAACCAAACACCTAAACATTAATATGAAGGCACTTTCATTCAAGCATGGACTTGGTTGTGGAGAGGAAGGAGCCTGAAAACATGGTTGTTCCAGTGTGCCTTCCCAGAATAAGGAAACCCTAAGCAACATGTCCCTAATCGCACTTTACTAATGATCTAGGATTGTCTGTTCGCTCCATCTCTCTCCAAACACCTATCCTAGTTAAATGTCACCTTGTCATGCCCAGCATTTTTTTTAAAAAATTAATCATTACATTTAGCCCTGTCATAGGTTTTTAATGCGTTGTGGTGTTATTGTTATTGTTTATTGCTTTGTTTATGAGTTTACTTATTGTTTGTATTGCTGTTGTTGTTGTTTTTACTGATGTATTTGGGCTCGGCCTCTTGTAAGCCGCACAGAGTCCTTTGGGAGATGTATTGGCCACTGTTACATTTTTAGGGACATGGGTTTGTGGAGGGTTTTTTGCCTTAGGTATCATCATAACTTGGCCAAGCTTGGGGCGGCATTGGCAAGTCAACCCTAAAGTGTTTTGGCTTTGGCATGGGCTTAACCCAAGTTATTTAAAAAGAAGGAATAACAATGCAGCATGAATCTATGAGAACCATAAATATAGATCTGATGGCTAGGTGGTGGCATAGGAGAGATCATCTGAAGTCAGGTTAAAGTTACAAAATGTGTATAGGAGAAAAATCTGGAAGGATTTTTGAATCAACCCACACATATAAAACTTCTTCACCTAATTTAAACTGCCACAGTTTTATCTTATGTGATCTCAATATTCTATAGCATGAGGATATGGCACCTGAAGTTTTATCGAAGTGCTATAACTGTATAATGAGAAAGAGAATGAAGATATATATATATATATATATATATATATATATATATATATATGAATGATGTTCGTTTGTGGGATTAACAGAACTCAAAAACACGAAATTTGGACACTATACCCCTAACAGACTAACAAGTGATGATCACTCATAAAAAACCCCCCCAAAACAGTAGAAATGTCTTAAAAACCCTAAAAAGCTCAATGACAATACAGAAAAAAGGGAAGGAAGAGGGAGGGAAGGAAGGGGAGAAAGTAAGGAAAGAAGGAAGGAAAGAAGGAGGAGAGAAAGAGGGAGGGAAAGAAAGAAGGAAGCATGGAAGCAAAGAGCGAATGAAGGAAAGAGGTAGAGAAGAAAGAAAGGAGAGTAAGAGAAAGGAAAAGAAAAGGGGGAAGGAAGGAGAGAGTTGGGGAAGGAAGGAAGGAGAGAAGGAAAGAAAAAGGGAAGGGAGGAAAGAGGGAGCGAAGGAAGGAGGAAAAGAAGGGGAGAAAGAGGGAGGGAGGAAAGAGAGAAGGAAGGATGGAAGCAAAAAGTGAAGGAAGGAAAGAAGGAAGGAAAGAGGTAGAGAATGAAAAAAGGAGAGAAGGAAATAAAAAAGGGAAGGGAGGAAAGAGGGAGCGATGGAAGCTGGAAAAGAAGGGGAGAAAGAGGGATGGAGGAAAAAGAGAAGGAAGGATAGAAGCAAAAAGTGAAGGAAGGAAGGAAGAGGTAGAGAAGAAAGAAAGGAGAGAAAGAGGGAGGGAAGGTTGGCCACAGCAACGCGTGGTGGGTACAACTTGTGTGTGTGTGTGTGTGTGTGTGTGTGAATTTGGCCTAAGATGTGAATTGCTTGCAACTTTTCAGCTCTCTACAATCACCAGTTTATAGTATAAACAGATCACAGACCACAACGTAGTATATAAATAGAACATTAGGAATACGGACCAGAATCCATAGAGCTACGAATTTACTGTATTTCCTCAGTTCTAAGGCACATTTTCCCCCCATATATAAACATTTCTAAAAATGGAATGCATCTTAGAATCATAGGTGTATCTTATGTATTTCGTTGTTGTTGGTAGTACTGGAATTAGGATGCACAGTAGCTGTGCATATCAAAAAGTGGAAGAGAATTTCAAAAGTGTTGTGTGATAATGGCACAAGGAAGCTATTATTCAAAATCAACATAACTGTATGTGCTACAGTTCTCAGAAAGGACAAAAAATAGTCCTTATTGATTCATATGATTTTCAAAATTCAACAGGGATTATTTTCCTGGTCTTATTTTTACAGCAACTGCAACAACTAAATATTCTCATTGCCAAAAACAGTGCTTTGCCTTCACTTTAATATTTTTCTCAATGCCACTAGTTTGTATATTTTAAAGCAGCACAAAGTGATAAGAGAGCAGAAAGCAGCAATACAAACTCAGCTCTGGGATACTAGCTAGTCAGCCAAACGAAGCTCTGCAGGATGCTGTTGTAAGCTTTGCATTGATGCCAGTGATGCCAGTCGAGAGTGGAGAAACTGCAATGATGGAAAACTCAAGGCTTCAGATGTCTCTCTCAGATGGTAGACTGCTCCTGCAGGAAGCCCTCAGCAGTTGGTACGGCACGTTCTGGTTCGGAGGCAAGGGCTGCTTCGCGCAAGACAGCCATGTGCTCCTCTGCCGCAGAGAGGGACTGGTCAATCCAGTCCATGCGGCTGGGAGAGTGGCAGGCGTTGCGGGTGATCAAGACCAAATGGCTCACCGAGAGCAACAGCGCTGTGGTTCTGGAAAGGAAAACAGCTTGGTCAAAATTGAGTTTTATTTATTTTTATTTATTTACTATACTTGTATACTGCCTTTCTCAGCCTTATTGGTGACTCAAGGCGGTTTACAAGTCAGTACACATAACAACAAAATACAAATTGAACATTAAAACAGTATAAAACCACAATAGAAGCAATAAAAACAATAAAAACCAGCATCATTATCATCAATGTCTCCTAGTTAAATAACAGTCTCCAAGTTCCATTGTCGAGTGATTCCATTTCCTATGTTAGTTACTCTGCATTTGTAAACACTTGTTCATATAACCATGTCATAACTTGTCTCAGAAACGTTAAGAGTGAGGAAGGCAATCTAAGCTCCTCAGGGAGGGCGTTCCATAGCCGAGGGGCCACCACAGAGAAGGCCATGTCTCTCGTCCCCGCCAAACATACTTGTGATGAGGGTGGGATTGAGAACAGGGTCTCCCCAGGCAATCTTAAACTCCTAGATGGTTCATAAGGGGAGATGTGTTCGGACAAGTAAATTGGGCTAGAACCGTTTAGGGCTTTATAGGCTAAAGCCAGCACTTTGAATTGTGCCCGATAGCAGACTGGCAGCCAGTAGAGCTAGCGCAGCAGAGGAGTTGTATGCTCCCTGAGCGCCGCTCCTATTAACAACCTGGCTGCCGTCCATTGGACTATTTATATACCCCCACGAAGGGCGGTATATAAATGTGGTAAATAAATAAATAATGTCAGAGTACACAGAGAAGCCACTGAAATCCACAAGCACATGGGCAATTTCAACAGAAAGGAGGAAACCATGAAAATGAACAAAATTTGATTACCAGTATTACAAAACACCAGAATCAAGACAGTAAATAAGGAACGCCACTCAGAAACAGGAGAACTCCAGAAAGTAAACAAGCAAGTGCCAGTTAATACCTCCCAAACAGAGGATGCCTCCAGGCAACAGAGGACATGCTACCTCTTTGCAGATACCCTCACTGATTGACTTTTCAAGCTTTGTGGCTACTCAGTGCTATTCAAACTTGCTAATTGCAACATTCACACTTGCTTTACCCACCCTGGACATTCCACAGATATAGATATATACACTCCACTCGCTTCACTAGCAACAGAACTTCTGAAGATGCCAGCCACAGATGCAGGCGAAACATCAGGAGAGAATGTCGCTGGAACATAACAACCGGAAAAACTCACAGCAACCTAAATAGCATTATTGGACTGGCTGAGCTCAGACATCTGTGGAGGCAATAGTAGTTCAAGTATGCTGATAATGTTGGTTCCATAATGGTGAAGTAAGTAGAGGCATGATTCCTTTGGGGGATGGGTGGTTGGAAGATTATAACTTGCCTAATATGTATTTTATGCACCATATCCTTCAACTCGGAGTGTCAACCAATATTTGCTCTACTTATTATAGAAGATCCTTGGAATATGAATGAAGGGTTTATTCCATTTCTCTGTAGCCCTTCTGGTAACATGTTCCTCTCTTTTCCTCAGTTTACTTTTTCACTTGTTTCACAGGATTTAAAATAAAACTATTTTTGCTATGAATTTGACCCCCCCCCCCTCTTTTTTTTTTTTTTGCATGCACAACCACTATCTTAAAATTCCCATTGCCATCCAGGTCATGTATGTGGGTAGTTCAAATGTGACATACTCACCTGGCATCCAAAAGCTTAGGGTCCAGTGGTGGGTACATGGATCGGACCACATCATCCACCCTAGATTTTAAAAAAAGCAAGAACTAAATAAGGTGCAGAAATTACTTCATCAAGACCTTACTAACAAGAGGTGCAAGAATAAAAAAGAAGAAAAACAAAGAGAGAAAGGGAGTGGTGAGGAGTACGATCATGTACTTATTACATAACATGTACTTACCAATACAGCCTAAAGAGCTTCCATATGAGAAAGATCTTTCTTCCGTGTTTTTTTTCCCCAGACTGAAGAAAATTTGACTTTCAAAGGAGAAGTAGCACAATCCACACAAGTACATGTCTCTTTACCACCAATGCAGGCCAGTGATTCTAGTATCTGTGTGGTAGTGAATCTAGTTCCAGGTTTTGACTAATTCTAAAGGGAGCTGTCCATGGTGCTGAACATATTGGATAGCTCCCTTAAGGGCTGAAACCCTGGAGTGGACTCACTGCACCACTGATAGGAGACCCACTAGATATCCAGTTTCGTACAACCATTTTTAAAGACAGGGCTTGTGATGTGTGCATAAACTACTGTGTTAGTAAACAAGTGTATTATGATGCAATTATACTTTGGGGAACACTTCATTGTTTCCATTTCTCAATGCTATGGAATCACAGGAGTTCTGCCAAAGAGTACTGGTGCCTCATGAAACGACAGCTGCCAGAAATCCATAGCACTGAGCCGTATTAATATAAAGTGGAGTCAAACTAATCAATTAATTCTGATTAGTTCCACCCTTTCTGCTTAATGCACATAATGTCTTGAGGTGTTCATTGGATCTGAAAATGTCATTACATTAAACAAAGGCATTTTGCTGCCTATTCAGTGGCTTCTAAGATGTAAGACAGGTGGCAAGCTATTTAACCTCAGCAGACTGAAAGCCAAAACCAAGGTCACAACAACATCTCCAATATGCTGATGACAACGTTGTCTGTGCGCATTCAGAAGAAGACCTCTAAACACCTTCACAGAAGCATATGAGAAGCTTGGCCTGTCATTGAACATCGAGAAAATCAAAGTGCTCTTCCAGCAGTCACCAGCCAATCCCTCTCCAATGCCAGAAATACAGCTTAATGGTGTAATATTAGAAAATGTTGATCATTTTTGCTACCTTGGCAGCCACCTCTCCACAAAAGTCAACATTGACACTGTAATACAACCCCGCCTGAGCTCTGCGAGTGCAGCTTTTTTCCAAATGAAGCAGAGAGTGTTTGAGGACCGGGATATCCGTAGGGATGCCAAGGTGTTTGTTTATAAAGCTATTGTCCTCCCAACCCTGCTATACGCCTGTGCGATGTGGACTGTCTACAGCAAAGACCACCAGCATTGAAGCGATGGTCCTCCAGCCACGTTGTCCGGATGCCCGACCACCATCTCCCAAAGCAGTTGCTCTACTCCGAAAACATAATATTGGTGGGCAGGAAAGGAAATTTAAAGATGGGGTCAAAGCCAACCTTAAAAACTCTGGCATAGAGTCTACAGCAAAGACCACCAGCATTGAAGCGATGGTCTTCCGCCATCAACTCCGCTGGACTGGCCACGTTGTCTGGATGCCCAACACCGTCTCCCAAAGCAGTTGCTCTACTCCAAAAATAGAATATTGGTGGGCTCAAAGCCAACCTTAAAAATTCTGGCATAGACAATGAGAACTGGGAAGCCCTTGAGTGCTCCAGCTGGAGGTCAGCTGTGACCAGCAGTGCTGTAGAATTTTAAGAGGCACGAATGGGGGGTAAAAGAGAGAAACGTGCCAAAATGAAGGCGTGTCAAGCCAACCCCAACTGAGACCACCTTCCACCTGGAAACCAATGCCCTCACTGTGGGAGAAGATGCAGATCAAGAATAGGGCTACACAGTCACCTATGGACCCACTGCCAGTACCAGGCCCGTAGCCAGGATTTCGTTTCAGGGGGGTGGCTGAATTTTTTTTCGAGGGGGAGGGGTTTTCAGGGGGTGGGTTTCGGGGGGGGGGCTGAGTCTGAGTGAAAGAGGGTCTAGCCTAGCAAACTTTTTGTATCATTACCCCAATACCCCCATGCATATGGGATATATTGAGTATGGTGATCAGATCATGATATGAATAAACATAACAGTTTAAATAATGCACCAGTAAGGCCTTTTCGCGAACCACCATGAGAATTTCAGGGGAGGGGGGGGCTGAAGCCCCCCAAGCCCCCCCCCCCCCCCGGCTACATGCCTGGCCAGTACTGGAAGAGTATCCTACTCGGACAGCGAGGGATCGTCTAAGTAAGTAAGTAACTAACTAAGTAAGATGCATGTAGAGTTTTTTCATCCTTATCTGGCCTGTATCTCAATTAATTTTCCACCATCCCTACTCCTCCATTGAGGAAGAGGCATTAAACAATTCACCCTGTAGTTGTCCCTCACTCCAATTTGACATCTCTTACCTGGGACTGATCCGCTTGGCAACCACAATGATATCGTTGAGGCTGGATGGAGCTTTCATCTGAGCTCCCGAACCCATGGTCATGGCAACAAGTTTCTCTGTGAGGGTATGACAGATCTGTCCAAAGAGTGATTCAAGTCAGTGTTACCAGTTATGGAGAGCTTATTTGCCCCAAACTATAGTTTTGCCACTTAAAGACAGTGCAACTCCATCAAATCACACACACAATTCTAATTATATATATATCCAAACCATGTTGATCACCCATCTAAAACCAAATTGTGGTGATGCTTAGGATCTCAAGCTTTCCGTCTGATGTTTTTATATTTATTTATTGCCATTACTGGGTACAACATTCTGCTGTAAAGTGATTAGGCCAATCAAAGGACACAAAATGTTCAAAAGGTTTTGAAGCTCAAAATCTAGATCTCTAAGGAATTTGATAAAGTTTTAATGCTGTTTGTTATGCCTTGCTGTTTTAATTGTGTTATAATTAAATTTTATGTCATTTTAGCACTTGTCACACTGACATTTGTGATGTCCCCAAAGGAAGGATTTACCTTTAGAATAGCGATACAGTGCGAGACCAGGCCCCTAAGGGAGGAAAATGATAGCAACAAATCAGGGAAGCAGCATGTCATTTTATCAGGTGCAATAAGACGCACACAATTTCAGAACCTATATCCACAATTTCAGTTATCCACAACTGGGAGGGAAATTATTTCTCTAGGTGATTCTATCGTATTCTTCTCTGAAGTTATTACAGAGTTGTCCTGAAGGATCTGGGACATTTCTAAAGTTCCCTTACTGGAAATCTCTAGGAGGTCTTCCAATCTAGGTCTGCCAGGACCAGAAGTCAAGTAATTTATTGGCATTTAGTTGTATCCATGGTTTCAGGTAACCACAGTGTGGCTAGAATTTTATTTCCAATTGATATGGGGAGTCTTAATGAATTACAAAAGGTTCATCCACACTTTCCATTGGACAACTCCTCCACTTTTATAGTTAGTTTAAACATGAAAAAAGTGACCTTATATTCAAGACTGCTTCCTTAAGGTCCTTCCACACAGCCGTATAACCCAGATTATCAAGGCCAAAAAAAAAATTACCACAATATCTGCTTTGAACTGAGTTATGTGAGCCTACACTATCTGAACGTATCTCTCCATATGAACCGTGCTCTTACCTACAAGAAGCACTGCCTGAACATCAAGCAAAAAGTGGGTGCTAGACACAATATCATACAAAAGCTGACTGGCACAACCTGGGGATCACAACCAGATACAGTGAAGACATCTGCCCTTGAGCTGTGCTACTCTGCTGCCGAGTATGCATGCCCAGTGTGGAACACATCTCACCACACTAAAACAGTGGATGTGGCTCTTAATGAGATATGCCGCATTATCACGGGGTATCTGCGCCCTACACCACTGGAGAAATTACACTGCTTAGCCGGTATTGCACCACCTGACATCTGCTGGGAAGTAGCAGCCAATAGTGAAAGGACCAAGGCAGAGACATCTCCAGCTCATCCCCTGTTTGGGTATCAGCCAGCACGTCAACGACTTAAATCAAGAAATAGTTTTCTTAGATCTACAGAGACACTCGCTGGAACACCCCAGCAAGCGAGAGTCCAAAAGTGGCAGGCTCAAACCCAGAGCCTCAACCAATGGCTGATATGAGACCCACTAGAAATGAGAGACTCCCTCCTGGGCACACAGAGGACTGGGCGACTTGGAAGGCGCTGAACAGACTGCGCTCTGGCACCATGAGATGCAGAGCCGACCTTCAGAAATGGGGCTACAAAGTGGAAACCTCGACATGCGAGTGTGGAGAAGAGCAAACCACTGACCACCTGCTGCAATGCAACCTGAGCCCTGCCACATGCACAATGGAGGACCTTCTTGCAGCAACACCAGAGGCACTCCAAGTGGCCAGATACTGGTCAAAGGACATTTAATCAACTACCAAACTCACAAATTTTGTATTTTGTCTGTTTGTTTGCTTTGTTCTGTTAGAAATGTAATATAATTTGACTGGTTGTGCTGACACGACAAATAAATAAAATAACCATCTAGGACTTTAAGATCATCTGGGGAGGGCCTGCTCTTGATCCCGCCTTCCCCACTGAGAAGGCCCTGTTTGGCGGGGATGAGAGACAGGCCCTTCTCAGTGGTGGCCCCTTGGCTATGGAACACCCTTGCCAGGGATATAAGATCAGTTCCTTCCCTTCTAACATTCTGCAAAATGGTTAAGACCTGGCTCTTTGAGCAAACTTTTTATACTGGAGCATAATTAGACATAAACGAATATATGGAATGACCGACGATGCAACTGGACAATGATTTTAGTAAGAAGATGCCGAAGATCTTGTTTTTACAGATATATTTGCTTTTTATATTACATTTTAAATGTTGAATGGTTTTTATAATTGTTTTAACTGTATTTTGATATTTGTTATGGCATCGAATCACTGCCGACTGTCAACCACCTTGAGTCAGCTCTGGATGAGAAAGGCAGTATACAAATGTGGCAAATAAATAAATAAATAAATAAGCAGAAAATGTGGGATTTTATTTAGCAGTGTGGAAGAGGCCTTTCTTTCAGCTCCTCAATTTTCACTCTCCTTGGCAAAGCATAGTGTTTCTGTTTCCTTCAATTTCCTAACCACATTGATATAATTTCCCTTCCTCAAATAAGGAACTCTTATTGTAAACATTCTACTGCTGGCACTTCCTCCCTGAGCATCTGCACTGCAAAGGAACATGCGATGACTTCATAACATCTAAAGGAGGGGGAAAACAGAGACATGTGGCTTAGGACATGATTCACATCCTCTAACCATACTTCTAAGGAGGATTGTCATAACAAGGATGAGGATGGGCAGGATACTGCAGTATGTAGTTTGGTGACAAATCTAGATTTTCCTACTGTATCCCCTTAAAGAGCAGTAGAAAATCTAAGTACCCAGAAAATTTTAAGTCCCAAGAATTCACAGCATGCAATCAAGGCAGTTAAATTGGAAACAAAGCACGATAACATTGCAGTGCGGCCACAACCTAAAACAAATGTTAGGGTACTGTTCTCTAATGTTTTGCCAATATCCTTATGGTGGCTCTTGCACTGCTCACACATTAATGAATGGAGAACAGAATAACTGCAAATGCATTAAGTCACTATGCTGCCTGAGATTTGCCCAACGTACGACGCATCTTCAATCCAGTCTTCGTTCTCCAGAATTGCTTCAATATGTGGGTTTGTTATCACCACGTCGTCCAGCTCCAGTTCGGAAGGTTCTGACTGCGTCTCTGTTGAGCCCATATGGTCAACGATGGGCCTGAAAGAAGAATACAAAAGGGACAAGGATGAGCATTTTCTACTGCAACTCTACTCAGTTCTTTGGGAACCACAAATGTATGCAACTGCTACCTGTGAAGGGGAAAAAAGCATCCAAATATGTACTTGATATTTAAAATAATATTTAAAATAACCACCACACTAAAACAGTAGATGTGGCTCTTAATGAGACATGCCGCATTATCACAGGGTGTCTGTGCCCCATACCACTGGAGAAATTACACTGCTTAGCCGGTATTGCACCACCTGACATCCGCCGGGAAGTAGCAGCCAATAGTGAAAGGACCAAGGCAGAGACATCTCCAGCTCATCCCCTGTTTGGGTATCAGCCAGCACGTCAACGACTTAAATCAAGAAATAGTTTTCTTAGATCTACAGAGACACTCGCTGGAACACCCCAGCAAGCGAGAGTCCAAAAGTGGCAGGGCCAAACCCAGCACCTCAATCCATGGGTGATACCAGATGAGAGACTCCCCCTTGGGCACACAGAAGGCTGGGTGACTTGGAAGGCGCTGAACAGACTGCACTCTGGCACCACAAGATGCAGAGCCAATCTTAAGAAATGGGGCTACAGGGTGGAATCCTCGGCATGCGAGTGCGGAGAAGAACAAACCACTGACCACCTGCTGCAATGCACCCTGAGCCCTGCCACATGCACAGTGGAGGACCTTCTTGCGGCAACACCAGAGGCACTCCAAGTGGCCAGATACTGGTCAAAGGACATTTAACCAACTACCAAGTTTGCAAAATCTGTGTTTTTTTTCTTTTTCTTTTTAATCTGTGTGTTTGTTTTGTTCTGTTAGAATTGTAACACAATGGTATGGTTGCTGATGACACGATAAATATTTACAATAACCCACTCTATAGAAATCTGGGTGGGAGGCGCGGATTCCAAAAAGTTAATGCTGGTTTTACCATTTTATATGAAGGATACTATTTTACTATGCCATTGTATGTAATAGGAATTGAGCATCCCCAGATTTTGATATCCATGGAAGGTCCTAGAACCAAACCCCAGTGGATACCAAGGGTCCATTGTGTAATGTTTCCCCATTGAGTTTTGCATCATGATTTTTAAAGGACAACATTTCACATGCCCTCTTATTTTTTTTTGGCTATATGCTAAAGAACACTGATTTAATCCTCTGATCCTTATTTATTTATTTATTTATTGACAACATTTCTACCCTGCCCTTCTCAACCCCCAAAGGAGGACTCAAAGCGGCTAACACTGGCAACAATTTGATGCCACAATATCACAATGTAACAACAATATAAAACCATAAATACACAATAGATTAAAAACAATAACATGGGGGTTCTGTGTGGGAAGTTTGACCCAGTTCTGTTGTTGTTGGGGTTCAGAATGCTCTTTAATGGTAGGTGAACTATAAATCCCAGCAAGTGCAACTCTCAAATCATAATCATAATCATCTTTATTTATATCCCATCACCATCTCCCCAAAGGGGACTCAGGGCATTATACATGAGGCCAAGTCCAGAAATGCATTACAATACAGTAACAAAAAACATAAGGCAATATCATAATAGAATAAGACAAGCATAGAATACAATACAAAATAATACAATAGAAAATCAAACACAATCACAATGAGTGGGCCACTTGTGTAAAATACAATGATAAAAACTCAGGATGGGATAAAAATAAAAACCTATATATTTATAAAGGAGACTCATGAACGGAGGAGTAGTGACAATCTTTCACATGAACAGGAGACAATACAATATGAGGACACCCATTATAGAGGAGCGTGACAAAGGAGATGAAAGATCACTCCCCAAAAGCACAAATGTCAAGGTCTATTTTGCCCAAACTCCACCTGTGTTCATATTTGGATATATTGAGTATCTGTGCCAAGTTTGGTCCAGACCCATCATTGTTTGGTCTACAGTGCTCTCAGGATGTAGGTGAACTACAACCCCAAAACTCAAGGTCAATGCCCACCAAACCCTTCCAGTATTTTCTGTTGGTCATGGGAGTTCTGTGTACCAAGTTTGGTTCAATTACATCATTGGTGGAATTCAGAATGCTCTTTGATTGCAGGTGAACAATAAATCCGAGCAACTACAACTCCCAAATTACAAAAACAATCTCCCTCCAAACTCTACCAGTATTCAAATTTGGGCCTATCCAGTATTTGTGCCAAAATTGGTCCACTGAATGAAAATACACCCTGAAGATCAGATATTTACATGATGATTCATAACAGTAGCAGTTGTGAAGTAGCAACGAAAATAACGTTATGGTTGTGGGTCACCATAACATGAGGAACTGTATTAAGGGGTCGCAGCATTAGGAAAGTTGAAAACCACTGACCTAGAAGAATCCTTTACCTTGTGTGACTGTGGAGCAGAACAACTCAGCATCTGGATGCTTGCCCACAATGCCCTGCCTCATGCACAGAGTATTGATCTCAATGCAGCTGACTCCCAGCCAGCTGTGCCACAGTGCAAAACGCAGTGTATTTTTAAAAAAAATCAAAGCAGTTTCTCACTAATGCTGCTAACAAAGCAGCAGCAGCAACAACGACAACAAAGCGGTGATCTTTTTACCTTTTCTCAGGAATAGAAAAATCCTGCAGTGGTTCCCATTTCCTCTCCAAACCAAATTTTGACATTGTGAGATACCATTTCTCATCCTGGATTAGAAAATTTGCAAATGGTCTTTAAATCTACAACAAAGTACAATTTAACTAACAAGCCTGCATAAAGCTTTTTTGCCCAACTACAGCATATTCTGAAATGGGGGCTTTCCCCACTTGGAGACGGCATTGGGTTCTAATTATCCCAATTTCCAGAATGTCAAGTCCTACTCACCTGGTATCATAATGGTTCACGAAGTCCTTGGGTCGGCAGTAACGCTGCCTACAGACCACAACCAGGGCTACAAAAGAGGCCAGAAAGATGGTTGCAAGCACTCCAATGGCCACAATCACAACTGTCTCCATTGAATCCCCACTATGTCCTCGGGGAAGAGGATGATGAGAGTGAATCAGTTTGGACAACTTCAGTGGTATTTCTTCCTGGAATGAAATGGAGCAAAACAAAGCATAACAAGTGCTTACAGTTGCACCAATAATAATAAGATCTCTTTCACATAACCTTTCCAAGCACAGATGGAGGTTGGAGGATGTATGGCTAGGGGAAGAATAATGTATTAGACGTTACATGTTAAGTTAGCAAACTAAATGCTGGAGTGTTGTATGGCCAGGTTTTAGCAGCATCTCTGGCTGGCATATTCAGAGGATCTGATAGTTGTGCAGGTACAACTGCACCAGGAGCTCCAATTTTGTTTGCTTTGCATTTAGTGTTTGTTATAGTCCTAAGTTTCAGGGACTCTGCAGATAGGTGGCTTCTTTTGGCTGCAATCATAGGGCAAGCCACCTGTCAATTATAGTTAGGTTCCCTGGTCCCGCCCCCTTTTTGGGTTTTTGGAGGGAATAGGAGCCATTTTGAGTTCAGTCCACACAGAACAGCTTTCCATGCAGGACATAATACCAAGAGCTCCTGTAGAAAGCTTCGTCTTCTACAGCTTGGCCGGGGTTATACAGCCCACAGCTTGGCCGAGGATCATACAGCCTTACAGCTCCTTTGCTGAGGGACTTCAGCCAGCCATCACAGAAACCTGAACTCCTTTTTCCCTGGAAGTCTACAAAGCTCTGCTTGGTAAGGGTCACTCGCGGAAGCCAGACGCAGTTGGTACCGGGTGTAGGGGCTCCACGCCAACAGAGGTAAAGAAAGACTGCCCAGATTAGAAGTTAAGGATTTCCCCATTAGTTAAAATACCAGTCATGAAGGTAGTGCCTGTTCCCTGTGGACAAGATTGAAAGAGCCTATAGACTGTTAAGAAAGCCTTGAAATACCTGATTGTTTTCATTAATAAAGAACTTTGTTGAACCTTTAAGCAATCTAAAGACTTTGTTTTGGGGAGGTCCAAGGGGCTTTAATCTGAGGCAGCCCCGGCGTCCCGTTGGGCACACAGAATTTATGTCCTGTCTACAGTCTTATGCACAGGCCCAGCATGCAACAGCACAAATGGTAGTCAAGCAAGTGGAGTATATATATCTAAGGAATGTCCGGGGTGGGATGAAAGAACATAGACTATTAAGCTAGTGCGAAGGGTGTAGTTAAAAAGCTTGAAAGTAGCCTGGTTTTTGTTTCCTTTGAATTGTTTCTTGCCTGGAGGCATCCTTTGTCTGTGTAAGCCCTTGATTGCTTTCTGCAGGGGTCCACACACTTTTTAAACAGAGGGCCAGGTCACAGCCACTCAAACTGTTGGAGGGCCAGATTATCATTTGAAAAAAGCATGAATGAATTCCTATGCACACTGATTAAAATCTGAAACAGATTTTAATTAATTAATGTGATTTAATATTTTAAATGCATGTAATTATTGGATTTTATTATGTATTTTATTATGTGTACACTGGAGGCATCAAATTGTTGCCGGCTGGAAGCCGCCCTGAGCCCCCCACCCCGGATGTTGAGAAGGGCGGGGTACAAATATCTGAAATAATAATAATAATAATAATAATAATAGCTGCACATATCTTATTTGTAGTGCAAAAAACACTTTAAAACAATACAATAATTAAAATGAAGAACAATATTAACAAATATAAACTTATTAGTATTTCAATGGGATGTGAGCCTGCTTTTGGCTGATGAGATAGGATTGTTGTTGTTGTTGTTGTGTGCTTTCAAGTTGTTTCAGACTTAGGTTGACCCTGAGCGAGGGCCGGGTAAATGACCTTGGAGGGCCGTATCTGCCCCCAGGGCTTAGTTTGGGGACCCCCTGGCTTACTGTATGGAGACTTTCTGTGCCTGAGTAGTGTTCCTTATTCACTGTTTGATTCCAGTGTTTTTCAATACAGATGGCCAAATTTTGTTCATTTTCATGTTTCCCCCCCTTTCTGTTGTAATTGTCCATGTGCTTGTACATTTCTGTGGCTTCTCTGTGTAGTCCGACAAAGTGGTTGTCTGAGTGGTCCAGAATTTCTGTGTTTTCAAATAATATTCTGTGCTCTGCTTGGTTTATCATAGCATTTCTCAACCTGGGGGTCGGGACCCCTGGGGGGGGGGCATGAGAGGGTTGTTAAAGGGGTCGCCAAAGGTAATCAGAAAACATAGTATTTTATGTATTGTCGAAGGTTTTCATGGCCAGAATCACTGGGTTGTTGTAGGTTTTTTGGGGCTATATGGCCATGGTCTAGAGGCATTCTCTCCTGACGTTTCACCTGCATCTATGGCAAGCATCCTTAGAGGTAGTGATGTCACTACCTCTGAGGATGCTTGCCATATGCAGGCGAAACGTCAGGAGTGAATGCCGCGAGACCATGGCCATATAGCCCCAAAAAAACTACAACAACCCATGGTATTTTATGTTAGTCATGGGGGTTCTGTGTGGGAAGTTTGGCCCAATTCTATCGTTCGTTGGGTTCAGAATGCTCTTTGATTGTAGGTGAGCTATAAATCTCACTAACTAAAACTCCCAAATGTCAAGGTCTATTTTCCCCAAACTCCACCAGTGTTCACATTTGCGCAAATTGAGGATTCGTGCCAAGTTTGGTCCAAATCCATCATTGTGTGAGTCCACAGTGCTCTCTGGACGTAGGTGAACTACAACTTCAAAACTCAAAGTCAATGTCCACCAAACCCTTCCAGTATTTTCTGTTGGTCATGGGAATTCTGTGTGCCAAGTTTGGTTCAATTCTATCGAGTTCAGAATGCTCTTTGATTGTAGGTGAATTATACATTCCAGGAACTACAACTCCCAAGTGACAAAAAATGACAAAACCCTATCGGTATTCAAATTTGGGCGTATGGGGTATTTGTGTCAAATTTGGTCCAGTGAATGAAAATACATCTTGCATATCAGATCTTTACATTACGATTCATAACTGGAGCAAAATTACAGTTCTGAAGTAGCAACAAGAATAATGTTATGGTTGGGGGTCATCACATCCTGAGGAAGTGTATTAAGGGTTTGTGGCATTAGGAAGGTTGAGAAACACTGGTTTATCATGTGCTCTGCTATGGCTGATTTTTCTTGCTGAAGTAGCCTTTCATGTTCTTTCAACAGAAAGGAAGAAACCATGAAAATGAACAAAATTTGGCGACCTGAATTGAAAAACACTAGAAACAAAATGGTGAATAAGGAACACCACCCAGACAGAGAAAGTCTCCAAACAGTAAGCAGTCAAAGGCTTATCCAGACATAGGATGCCTCCAGGGAACAAACAATTCAAAAGGAACAAAGGCCAAGCTCTTCCAAGCTTGCTAATTGCACCCTTCACACTAGGTGGCGCAGTGGGTTAAACCCCTGTGCCGGCAGGACTGAAGACCGACAGGTCGCAGGTTCGAATCCGGAGAGAGGCAGATGAGCTCCCTCTGTCAGCTCCAGCTCCCCAAGCAGGGACATGAGAAAAGCCTCCCACAAGGATGATAAAAACATCAAATCATCCGGGCATCCCCTGGCCAATGTCCTTGCAGACGGCCAATTCTCTCACACCAGAAGCGACTTGCAGTTTCTCAAGTCGTTCCTGACACGACAAAAAAAAAAAAAGACCATGATTCCTTCCTACCACCCTGGACATTCCACAGATATATTTACTCCTCTTGCTTTACCACCATCAGATCCTTTGAAGATGCTGTCCAGAGATGCAGGATAAATGTCAGGAGGAAATTCTGCTAGAACACGGCCATACAGCCCAGAAACCACACAACACTCCAATAATTCCGGCCGTGAAATCCTTCAAAAATACAAACTAAATGCTTGTTGCCTGATGAAGAAGCCAGGGGAGCTTTGAAACCTTGCATTATGCGTTTTGCATATTTGTTCGGCCAATGAAATTATCACTCCAGTGTGGATTTAGGTACTTATTGGTACCATGTGCATAAAGAAGCTTTGCAGAACCCGTGTCAAAAACAGAGCAGAGCAGAAATGCTAACCACATTATTAAGATAACACAAAGTGTGGCACTAACAGCTGGTAAGGAGATGTTCTTTTAAGCTCAATCTGAAGAATAAGGTTTTCATTACATACTAGCTGTCCCCTGCCACGCATTGCTGTGGCCCTGTCTTGTGATCTGAAAAGTAAAGTAATGAGAAAGTGTTGGTTTCTAATATATGTAATATCTTTATGCGTGTGGATAAACAATATTTCTTGTTGTTTCTTTGTCAGTGTTGATGTGGAGATTGTCTGGTTTGCCTACTCTGGAACATGCAACATATAATTGTCCTTCCTTAGGGGTCCCATTCAAATCTATGGTACTATCTCTCTCTCTGTGTGTGAAGCATATATATCTGTCTATATCTATGGCTGGATGGCTTTTTGTCAGGAGGGCTCTGATTACGTCAGAGAGTTGGACTGGGTGGCCTTAAGTATTTTCTGTTGGTCGTGGGGGTTCTGTGTGGGAAGTTTGCCCCAATTCTGTCATTGGTGGGATCCAGAATGCTCTTTGATTGTAGGTGAACTATAAATCCCAGTAACTACAACTCCCAAATGTCAAGATCTATTTCCCCCAAATTCCATCTATATTCATATTTGGGCATATGGAATATTTGTGCCAAGTTTGGTCCAGATCCATCATTATTTGAGTCCACAGTGTTCTCCAGATGTAGGTGAATTACAACTCCCAAATTCAAGGCCAATGCCCACCAAACCCTTCTAGTTTTTTCTGTTGGTTATGGAAGCCCTGGGTGTCACGTTTGGTTCAATTAATCATTGGTAGAGTTTAGAATGTTCTTTGATTGTAGGTTAACTATAAATCCCAGCAACTACAACTCCCAAATGACAAAATCAATTTTTTTGAGTGATGGTCACTCCTTGGGTTAGTAGGTGTCTTGTGGCCAAATTTGGCGGCAATTTGTCCAGTGGTTTTTGAGATGTTAATCCCACAAACTAATATTACATTTTTATTTATCTAGATTTTAGCATTAACATCTGACAGTGGGAGGGGAGGAAGCATTATAAACAAATGATGTTGCTGTGTTTGAAACAGTATCCTGATCTTCATGAATTTCACACCTTGCTGAGGTGAGCTAATGTGAAAAACATATGACAAGAAAAGGACAGCTTATGTTTGGTGAGTTATTATTTTCATAGCTCACTCTTCACTGTACGTAAATCAAATCATCTTTCTTGTTATCTCTATTGCAGTGGTTCTCAACCTTCCTAATGCCAAGACTCCTTAATACGGTTCCTCAAGTTGTGGTGACCCCCAAACCGTAACATTATTTTCATCATAACTGTAATTTTGCTACTGTTATGTCAATATCTGATGCGCAGGGATGTATTTTAATTCACTGGACAAAATTGGGCACAAATGCCCAATACGCCCAAATCTGAATACTGGTGGGGTTGGGGGTTGGGGTGGAATTTTGTCATTTGGGAGTTGTAGTTGCTGGGATTTATAGTTCACCTACAATCAAAGAACATTCTGAACTCCACCAACGATGGAATTGAACCAAACTTGGCACACAGAACTCCTATGACCAACAGAAAATACTGGAAGAGTGTGGTGGGCATTGGCCTTGAGTTTTGGATTTGTAGTTCACCTACATCCAGAGAGCACTGTGGACTCAAACAATGATGGACCAAACCTGGAATGAATATTCAGTATGTCCAACTATGAACATTGGTAGAGTTTGAGGAAAACAGACCTTAACATTTGGGAGTTGTAGTTATGGGCTTTATAGTTCACTTTCAATCAAAGAGAATCCTGAACCCTACCAATGATAGAATTGGGCCAAACCCCCATGACCAACAGACAATACTGATGGTCTTTGGTGACCTCTCTGACACCCCCTCACGACCCCCCGAGTGGGAATCAAGCAATCCACCAGATGTGGTTGGAGAACTTGCTATTATTCATGCTGGCAAGATCTGCTGGGGTGTGCAGTCCAATTGTATCTGCAGGACCACATGAGTTCCATCTTTTACAGACCATCAAGCAATGGTGTACCTACTTTGGTTAGCTTTCAAGGTATACAGAAGGGAAGCAAGAGCAGGGTGGGAGATCCTCCTAACAAACCCAATTGAGAAATTCTACCTGTTGACAGCAGAGTAAAACGAAGCCTCTCCTGGTCTCTGAAGGAACACACCTGCTGCCGCCACCGTCACTGGAACTTCCGCATAAGGCAAGCCACACAACAAACAGCCCTGGCACTGGCGACCTTTATCCCCCCCTCCATCCCAACCCAAAGCAAACAGTGCAAGAAACACAGTAGGGAAAAGCGCACTTCCTTAGAGCCACTTTTGGCCTCGCAGTCACAATACCTGCTCTATGTGGATGCCTTCTTGGGAACTTGGGAGGCTGGCACAGTTTGCAGTGCCAACCCAGGAGGGCAGGATGTGCACCAGAGGGATATTTGTTTGATTTGCATTATGGATATTCAGAACCAAACATATTCTGCATGCATAAATCATTTTGAAATTCTGAATCATGGAAATGAACAAAATTTTGCCATCTGTATTGAAAAACACTGGAATCAAACAGTGAATAAGGAACACCACTCAGGCACAGTCGCCCGTGGGTTGAGAAAGGTGGTATGCAAATATACTAAATAAAAAAATAAAAAAATATGAAACTTCTACCTACAAAAAGCATGCACAGATTAAACGTATCCACAGATGGATTTCCGTCCTTTGTATATTTTATTCTGCTTATAATGGAATGGAAAGAGGTAAGGAGGAAACGTTACTAGGAAATCCTCTTTTTTTGGTTGTCACTTCTTTAATTATTACCATCTGCACATGAAAAAGAGAGAATTTTCAGAATTATATTCTGCACTTGATGAAATATCTGTATTTGAAGAATACAACACAGGATCCAACTGATATTTTTGATTTTACCCTCTCTTTATTTGCTATCTGTCTGCCTTTCTTTCTTTTTGTGCACATCATGGCTTGGGGCAACATTTTGCAACCTGGGGGTTGGGACCTTTGGGCGGTCACGAAGGGGTTGTCATTGGGGTATTTTCTGTTGGTCATGGGAGTTCTGTGTGGGAAGTTTGGCCCAATTCTATCAGTGGTGAGGTTCAATATGCTCTTTGATTGTAGGTGAACTATAAATCCCAGCAACTACAACTCTCAAATGTCAAGGTCTGTTTTCTCCAAACTCCACAAATGTTCACATTTGGACATATTGTGTATTTGTGCCAAGTTTGGTCCAGATCCATCATTGTGCACAGTGCTCTCTGGATGTAGGTGAACTACAACTCATAAACTCAAAGTCAATGCCCACCAAACCCTTACAGTATTTTCCGTTGGTCGTGGGAGTTCTGTGTGCCAAGTTTGGTTCAATTCCAGTCTTGGTGGAGTTCAGCATGCTCTTTGATTGTAGGTGAACTATAAATCCCAGCAACTACAACTCCCAAATGTTAAGGTCTGTTTTCTCCAAACTTCACAAGTGTTCACATTTGGGCATATTGAGTATTTGTGCCAAGTTTGGTCCAGATCCATCATTGTTAGAGTGCACAGTGCTCTCTGGATGTAGGTGAACTACAACCCCAAAACTCAAGGTCAAGGAAGTCATAGGGAGGAGGGAGCAAGCTTGTTTTCTGCTTCCCTGGAGACTAGGACATGGAACAATGGCTTCAAACTACGAGAAAGGAGATTCCATCTGAACATTAGAAAGAACGTCCTGACTGTGAGAGCCGTTCAGCAGTGGAACTCTCTGCCCCGGAGTGTGGACGAGGCTCCTTCTTTGGAGGCTTTTAAACAGAGGCTGGATGGCCATCTGTCAGGGGTGCTTTGAATGCAATATTCCTGCTTCTTGGCAGGGGTTTGGACTGGATGGCCCATGAGGTCTCTTCCAACTCTATGATTCTATGATTCAAGGTCAATGCCCACCAAACCCTTCCAGTATTTTCCGTTGGTCGTGGGAGTTCTGTGTGCCAAGTTTGGTCCAATTCCAGCCTTGGTGGAGTTCAGCATGCTCTTTGATTGTAGGTGAACTATAAAGCCCAGCAACTACAACTCCCAAATGACAAAATCAACCCCACCAATATTCAAATTTGGGCGTATCGGGTATTGTGCCAAATTTAGTCCAGTGAATGGAAAAAACATCCTACATATAAGATATTTACATTATGATTCATAACAGTAGCAAAATTACAGTTATGAAGTAGCAACGAAAATAATTTTATGGTTGGGGGTCACCACTGTATTAAGGGGTCCCGGCATTACCAAGGTCGAGAACCACTGGTTTTAGGGGAAAGTAGCTCTGCCACTAAGAATATGGGAAAGTATGCAAACTGTAAAGGAAACCCACTGTGAAGACACCCCTTCCTCAAAGGGAAATGCAATGGCTCCTCCTCCTTGCTTAGGAATGCTGGCTCCCAGCTCCCTCATAGAGTAAACAGTGGCCTCTTCAGAACTACCCCAGGAATGTCTGGTTCATGTAAGAGGATTAATTCCTTTCCGGTTCTCTCTCCTAAAACTGAAAAGAAGGGTGTGGGGAGCTACCACTTTCAGCAGATCTTTACAAGAATCAAACACAGCCCCAAACTACAAGAAGGTTCACCCCTCCCTGCCCCCTGCAAAGAAAAAATGTAGAGAAGCAGCAACTAATGTAATTGTATTGAAATAATCATCCCATTTGCTTTTACCTGGGAATACTGGATGAGTGCTCTGGATATGGCCGTGGCCTGATGTGTCCTCCTGGGAAAGAGTTCGCCAAACCAGTTGCTAAGATGGGCCTCCAAATGGGCCAACGCCAGCCCTTGGAGCCGTCTCTTGAGAGCCAGGTCCTGCTTGCATTCCTGAGCAGGATGAAGTTGAACTGATGCCAGACGGACAGAGGAGAGATTAGAAAGTGGGCTGGCCAAGCAAGGGGGATTTGGGGTGGGGGCTTGTCCGGCTGGGATGTGGGAGAAAGGATCTGAGCTGCATCCAGCAAGCAGGGAACTTGCAAGGGGGGGGGGCAGATTGAACCCCCTTCTAAAATTAGCCTTGGAAGGCTGACCCCCCCCCCCCCAATAAATGATCTGGCAGAATTGAGACACTAAAAGGCCTGTGTAGCTGACCCTCAGGAATTACCACAACTTACTTACTTACTTACTTACTTAGGCGATCCCTCATTGTCTGAGTAGGATTGTCTTCCAAGATCAGTGTCCTGGCGGTGGATCCGTAGGTGACTGTGGAGCCCTATTCTAGATCTGCATGTTCTCCCGCAGTGAGGGCATTGGTTTCCAGGTGGAAGGCAGTTCCGGTCGGAGTTGGCTTGACATGCCTTCCTCTTGGCACGTTTCTCTCTTTCACCTTCCATTTGTGCCCCTTCAAATTCTACAGCACTGCTGGTCACAGCTGACCTCCAGCCGGAGTGCTCAAGGGCGAGCCTTCCCAGTTCTGTGTCTATGCCAGAGTTTTGAAGGTTGGCTTTGAGCCCATCTTTAAATCTCTTTTCCTGCCCACCAACAATCTGTTTTCCATTCTTGAGTTCAGAGTAGAGCAAATATTTCTGGCATTCGGACAACGTGGTTGGTCAACGGAGGCGGCCTCGCGACCCATCCAAAATGGCCAGATGACCCCCTTTGGGGGTCCCGAAGTGCTGCAATACAGTAATTAAAATGAAGAACCATTTTAACAAATATAAACTTATTAGTATTTCAATGGGAAGTGTGGGCCTGCTTTTGACTGATGAGACGGGATTGTTGTTGTGTGTTTTCAAGTCATTTCAGACTTAGGTTGACCCTGAGTGAGGGCCGGGTAAATGACCTTGGCGGGCCGGATTCGGCCCCTGGGCCTTAGTTTGAGGACCCTTGGGCTAGACTATTGATTTGAGTCAGTTACAAGACCATGTAACAAGGATCTCGTAGCAGCGTTATTATTTTTCTCAATTGCATTTTAATTGATTTGTTTGTTAATTGATTTGTTTGTTAAATTTCAACCAGGATTTTTTTTCTAAGCTGTTTTTTGTTTTTAAGCTGTCAACCAGGATTTTGTTTTTAAGCTTTCTAAGCTGCTATCTGTGGCAGGACAGTGGGACCTAAATGTAATAAAATATAAATAAACTTAACTTCTGAAAACATGCAAATATGAGTAGATCAATAGGTATCGCTCCGGCGGGAAAGTAACAGCACTCCATGCAGTCATGCCGGCCACATGACCTTGGAGGTGTCAATGGACAATGCAGGTTATTTGGCTTAGAAATGGAGATTAGCACCAACTTCCAGACTTGGACACGACTGGACCTAATGTCAGCGGGAAACCTTTACCTTTACCTAACTACTAGGAGCCCCCGGTGGCACAGTGGGTTAAACCCCTGTGCCGGCAGGACTGAAGGCCAACAGGTTGCAGGTTTGAATCCGGGGAGAGGCGGATGAGCTCCCTCTATCAACTCCAGCTCCTCATGCGGGGACATGAGAGAAACCTCCCACAAGGATGATAAAAACATCAAATCATCTGGGTGTCCCCTGGGCAATGTACTTGCAGACGGCCAATTCTCTCACAACAGAAGAGACTTGTCACTCCTGACACGACCAAAAAAAACCAAAACCTAACTACTGGTGTGATGGAGTCTCGGCTGTCTTCTCCCATCACCCCTTGCGCGCCTCCACTCTTCCTTTTTCTTTCAGTCATTGGTGTTGGCGGCAGAGCTGCGGGCATGTTGTCCTACAAGACGTTCAAGACCATGCGCTTCCTGGTGTGATGGATGTATCATTCAAAAAACGTACACACTTGTTTTATTCAAGGGTTATCATTTATTTAAAAATAAAATGTCACGAATGATCGTCGAGCAACAAATCTCCTTCGGATCTAGCCACAGTCATCCTAAAAAAGTCAACCATTTTTGAAATCAACACCTGTTTAACATAGGAAGTGAGATAAAGTGTCAGGAGTTTGATCACTCAGTATTTTCTCAAAGCCCACACCGCAATGGAGATATGCTAATCGTTTATTACCAAACTAAAACATTCAGGTTTCATATCTCTGCTGAGACAAAGAACAGATGCAATCATCAGTTCTTTGCAGGAAGAGGAAATAATTTTTCAACTAATATTTATCAGATAGGTAGTTATTTGCACTACAATTTATATTCCTGTTTTGAAAGGCACATAGCTTCAAGGATACACCCAGAGAGAAGAATTCTGCTCTTCTCTAAAGATGTGGTCATTGATTTTGCTGTCATGGTGTAGGAGGGCAGTGAGTGCTAGGCAGATCTTGGAAAAGTTGCATTTTCAAACTATAGCTCCCAGAATCCCCAACTAGTATAGTCAGTATTCATTCTGGCCAGGGGATTCTGGGTGCTATAATTTAGAAATTTCCCAAGCTCTGGAAATAAGGCACTTAGTAGTAGTAGTAGTATAGTACTACTGCTTTCTCAAGTTTCTCTTTTTGGTGAGTCAAGTTGTTCCCTATGGATTGTGAAGTAGTCACCACAGTGCAAGGAAAGGGAACAAATTGCATTGGGTTGGACCTGAGGCAAAGACATGGAAGAAGCATACTGTCCTTGTGATGGATCAGGGTGTGTGATGAAGTCCTAAATTCATCTTTTCCTGCCTCACTTGAGTAAGGAAGGAAGGTTGTGAGGTGGATTGGAAATATCCCTTATTTAAAAAGCATCCCTATATAGCAGTGGTTCTCAACCTGTGGGTCCCCAGTTGTTTTGGCCTACAACTCCCAGAAATCCCAGCCAGTTTATTAGCTGTTAGGGTTTTTGGGAGTTGAAGGCCAAAGCATCTGGGGACCCACAGGTTGAGAATCACTGCCATATAGCAATGTCACTGAATTTGATATCTCTATGTCTCATGTGCTTAGTCAGTACAGGATCACCAACTCAAGAGTTAAGCCAGAACAGCAGATACACAGACTTTTAAGTTTAAGTACAGCACTGCAAGTGCCTTTTTGGAACAACGATCCTCCATAGGAGGGATAGGGAAAGTGTGACCCTCCAAATGTTAGTGGACTGCCACTCGCATCAGCCTCAATTACTGCCTTATGCTGGCTGATGGTCCAAATAACATCTACAGGGTCATATATTTCCCATCCTTGCCTTATAGCATACCATTGTTGAACTCTGGACTTAGCAACAAGGGCACTGCGGAAGAGGGGAATGAATGGTGCCACAAATCCATATTAAGCACAACTCCGCAGAATGCACCTGAACTTGGTAATGATGTTTTTTTTGAGACCGGGATTGCCAGAACTCCCCAGTCAACATATCCACTGGCAATGCTAGCTAGGAGATTCTGGGAGTTACAATCCAAAAAAAGCACTTTTTCTGTTCTGTAATAATTGCCGGATCCATCACTCAACAGTAAGCTGTATCATCCATCATCTGATCTTCTCTCCATGGACATATAGAATACTTCAGAATCCAAGTTGCAAAAACCAGTCTTTCCTCATGGAAATGTACACTCAAATGCTTCTGGACTTACCGGGCTTCTCTATTGAGGTGTCTAATTTTTGAAGAGATGTGAGACACATTGTGTATGGGAAGACAATGGATTTGTCTATGAGAATAGTGAAACAGTAGCATAGGTAAACTAACAGTACATGCCAGAGTTCACTGGACTTCCATCCAATTTAGACCTCTTTGTTACCCATACCGAGAGCAGGAAGCTAAACAGAAACATATAAAAGTCTCATAGAGTGATAAGTTGGCCTCATTTCTACCAACTCACACACATATACTGAAGTGAATAAATAAATTAGAAGCCTGGGGTCAACACTACAAAATTTGCATTTTCTACTGTGATCATGGATTGGTAGCTCGCCGTTTCTTGCACTGCAAGTAAGCAAACCAAGATCTTGTGGATACTAGATGGCACAGAATCCGTCTAGTATCCAAAGAAAGTGTGAAACATCTTCAGCATTACCTTGTTCACCCAAAAGAGTCACAATACATTAACAATATTACAATTTCCAGAATTATTTAACAGGAAACCATGACATTTGAGCTCAAAACTGTCATGTTGGCACAGCTACAAAAGTCTCCTCCTTCCCAAAACATTTGTCCAAACCAACTATTTTGCCCAACAATTAGCTTCTTCTTTCTGTCCAACAGGAATTTCATATACCACGTGCCAAGCACTGGAAAAAGAATTCCTGCAGTGATAAGTTTTATTGCTTGTCCATGCACTCTCTTCCCAGGTTGACATCACACCACCCAGCAACATCCTTCCAGTAGCAATGGGACCTGCCCTTGCGTTGAGGTCAATCCTTCATTCACGCAGACTCCTGTGCTTTGCTGGGAGGGTTTAGCTCTCTGGGAATATGTAGCTGAGGTGGGTTAGGATTTGCTCCACAATCTGATTCTGGAAAACCATGTGCATAGTCATATTTCCTTCTTCGACCTCTGGTTTCAGTAACGTTGGTCCAAACACTATTGCAATGCTTTGTACTGACATGCGGTTCTCCTCTCGGTACTCTATAACCCTGAAGGGAAAAGAGGAACAAGGACTTTGTTAAGAGAAAAAAGAGGAAAAAATTATTTATTTATTTACAACATTTATATGCCCCCCCTTCTCACCCCGAAGGGGACTCAGAGCGGCTTACAAGATATATAAACATACAATATATTATATTATTAGCATAGTACAATATCAGTATTACATATTTCTATATTGTACTATACCATTTTATTGTAATATTATTAGTAATATTTGCAACATAAAATATATAATTATAATATATTATTAGTAGTATAATAATCTATATAAATAATCTATATAAATAAAAATGTAATGTCAGTTTGTGGTATTAACACAACTCAAAAACCACTGGACAAATTGACACCAAATTTGGACACAATACACCTATCAGGCCAGTGAGTGACCATCACTTATAAAAACACTGAAAAACATAGCCAAAGATACTTAAAAAAACAAAAAACAAAAATTACATTACAAATGCGCAAAACCACATATATACACAAACACACATATACACAAATATATATACACACAATATGTACACACACCCACAAAAAAGATATACACAGACTGGGCCACAGCAACACATGGCAGGGGACGGCTAGTAATATTATAAATATTATATGTATATACAATATATTACATTACATTATATTATAATTAACCTTCGTGCATCTTAGGCCACAGAGAAGACCTTAATTTAAAATTCTCAACCGCTTTTGGTGTCTTACCTTCAGAAATGAATGCTTATACATAAGCTAAACCATTTATCACTGCGGTGAGTCCTTTTCCCACCCACCTATCCGTGCTCCCTTGGTAAGGCTGATTATCTCAGAGTGAGTTATCCGAAAAGTTTGGAGTTCAATACTGAAGGCATGGAGAATGTGGAACAGGGAGGTATAAGTGGTGGAAAAATATTACACTATGTAGCAAAATTGGGAAGAAGTATCTTATTCATCAAGTGTCATTTCCTGTTTAATTATGTGATACTTTGGAAGTAGTTGCTATACTCCAGAATCTTTGTTTTTGTGGCTGCCACAAACTATGTTGAATCAGTTGAGACTCTATCAGATATTCATAAAACTATAGCAAAATGTGCTGCAGGATGTCTCGCAAAATCAAAGCTTTTGCAGTTTAATATACTTTTCCCAATCTCCAATCTGAATAAAATAGTGAAGAGTAGAGACATCACACTGGCAACGAAGATCCGCACAGTCAAAGCAATGGTATTTCCCATAGTCACCTACGGATGTGAGAGGTGAACGATAGGGAAGGCTGAGCGAAGGAAGATAGATGCTTTTGAACTGTGGTGTTGGAGGTAAGTTCTGAGAGTGCCTTGGACTGCAAGAAGATCCAACCAGTCCATACTTCAGGAAATAAAGCCCAACTGCTCATTGGAGGGAAAGATAGTAGAGGCAAAGATGAAGTACTTTGGCCACATCATGAGAAGACAGGAAGGCTTAGAGAAGACAATGATGCCGGGGGAAATGGATGGAAAAAGGAAGAGGGGCCGACCAAGGGCAAGATGGGTGGATGGTATCCTTGAAGTGACTGGCTTGACCTTGAAGGAGATGGGGGTGGCCATGGCTGACAGGGAGCTCAGGCATGGTCTGATCCATAAGGTCATGAAGAGTCAGAAGTGACTGAACAAATAAATAACAAACACACTTTTCCCATATTTTTAATGATAGAACCGATTAGGAAATGACATATATAACCCAGGAACAAAAACCATGTTACACAGTGTTATCAAGCCCTTCCCTGTCTATTGTACAGCCTACAGCGTATCTGGTGTGGGCTGGTCCATGAGGTCATGAAGAGTCGGAAGCAACTGAACGTTTTCCCTTAAGCTTCACACACCCAGTTTGGAAATTAAATGGATGATTTTCCTACCCCGTCACACCTCCTTTTCTCCACGTTCATTAGGATTTATACATTTGATTTGCCATCACATGACAGAGATTTGTTTCCTCCCATTGACCCTTCAGGATTTTGATTATTTATCTTTTTTTAAAAGTGGTTTTAATTAACCCTGACCTTTCCCCAAACCTCTGCATTGGGATCACAAGGAAGTGGCTTTAATTAACCCTGATCTTTCCCCAAACCTCCACATTGGCCATCATAGTGGAAATGGACATTTTAGCTCCTCTCACACACAGCGTCATTGTTTTATTTATAAGCGGACAACAGGAATTAACATCACAAGAAGAAATTGGCCTTTGTGCGTGGGGAATTGAAAAAGAAGTCAATTACCAATTGGAATTGTTGGAAAAACCCATACTTTAGAAACTGCAAAATACCTGGAGCTTGGGTCATGTGGTTTTTTTTTTGTCATGTCAGGAGCAACTTGAGAAACTGCAAGTCGTTCTGGTGTGAGAGAATTGGCCGTCTGCAAGGACGTTGCCCAGGGGACGCCTGGATGATTTGATGTTTTTATCATCCTTGTGGGAGGCTTCTCTCATGTCCCCGCATGAGGAGCTGGAGCTGATAGAGGGAGCTCATCCGCCTCTCCCCGGATTTGAATCTGTGACCTGTCGGTTTTCAGTCCTGCCGGCACAGGGGTTTAACCCACTATGCCACCAGGGGCTCCATGGGTCATGTGGTGAGCTTAAATGTGTAGTAACACTGGTTTTATTCCATGTGATGAAGTCCTAGTTCTCTGAAGAGGTATGTATTGAACAATCCAAGTCAGTTCAGATTCCAAAGAGATGCTTACCTGCAGAGATGTTGGAAAAGAGCCCTCATGGTGTTGTGGTTTGCAGGAGGTAGTGAATTCACCAGCTCCCGTAAGCGGTGGGTTCGCTTAGAGGGGTCTGAAATTTCTGCAGTACCAAAAAAGTAACACATCTTATTAAGTTATTTAATAGAAAGATAAAGAATCCGTACAGGAGTTACTATATTCCTATCTGCCAGAATACTTCTCTCTACATATGGACATTTCAGGCTCAGATCTGTGCATTCCAGTGAAGGAATGCTCACTGCTGAAATACAGCAGCGCATCTACCTAGGTTACAGCATCTAGTACATTTTAATTCTTAGCCACTTTGCCTCTCCTCTCCAAGAAAAAAGCAATGCTAAGTACAGATACCTAAATAAATAAAACATATATCATTTTATAAATGCATTGTGCTTTTCCTTGCCACTTTGTGCCACTGCAACAATGAAAACTAATGTTGCCATGGAATGCATTTCCTAAGCTAACTATTAGGCTTGTTTGATCAAAAAAATGTTTCAAAATTCATTTCAGACGTAGGGGGTGCTGGTGGTTTGGATCTAAAGTCAATTTTCACAGAATTTTTTTTCATAACTTTGCGAAACTTCCGAGACTTCCGAATCCTTTGTTAATGGTTTTAAAGTGTTATTTCCTGTTTCATTGGGTGGTCTTTACTTTGAAAGTAGTTGTTTTACTCCAGAAGGGGGCGGGGGGAAGCAAAAGGAAGAAATCCACCCACTCTGGTTAAAACCGTTTCTCTCGCTTAAGACTGACACCGGAGGGAAAGGAAAGGAAGGGAATCCATCCACACTGGTTTAAACTGACGCAGGAGGGAAAGGAAAGGAAGGGAATCCATCCACACTGGTTTAAACTGACGCAAGAGGGAAAGGAAAGGAAGGGAATCCATCCACAATGCTTTAAACTGATGTGGGAGGGAAAGGAAAGGAAGGGAATCCATCCAACCTGGTTTAAACTGACGCGGGAGGGAAAGGAAAGGAAGGGAATCCAGTCACACTGGTTTAAACAGACACGGAAAGGAAAGGAAGGGAATCCATCCACACTGGTTTAAACTGATGCGGGAGGGAAAGGAAAGGAAGGGAATCCATCCACACTGGTTTAAACTGACATGGGAGGGAAAGGAAAGGAAGGGAATCCATCCACACTGGTTTAAACTGACGCGGGAGAGAAAGGAAAGGAAGGGAATCCATCCAACCTGGTTTAAACTGATGCGGGAGGGAAAGGAAAGGAAGGGAATCCAGTCACACTGGTTTAAACAGACACGGAAAGGAAAGGAAGGGACTCCATCCACACTGGTTTAAACTGACATGGGAGGGAAAGGAAAGAAAGGGAATCCATCCACACTGGTTTAGAACGCTTCTCTGGCTTGAACCGAGGCTAGGGAACAGAAGTGGAGGAAAAGCTGAATCATTTCCAACTTATTTACTGATTCGTAAGAGAAATAGCGGAAAAAGCTTTGGAAGGGCAAAGGGATCCCAATGCAGAGGTTTCCTTAAAAACTTCGAAATCACTTCAAAAAGGAAATCTTTCCAAATTTATTCTGAATTATGAAGATTCCAACCAAAAGCTACCTGGGTTTTGGAGTCTCGTGGATAGAAATGAAGGTAGGAATGATGCGCACGTATTTCAAAATTTACTACTCAACCACTGGTACCTTCTCTACTTTCTAAAAAATTGCAAAAAGGTATTAACAGTCAATGTTTTAGGTAGAGGCAATTATGCCCAAGCAGACAGGCCTGAAGTATATTTTAGGCTTCTGGGTGAAGTGAACTCCTAATTCTGTAATTCCAAAACAGAATTTCAAATGAGTTCCCTAGCTTGAAACTTGATAAGGACCTTATGGCTGAAGGAAAAGGCATTTTGGCTTCTCTTTCTGCAGAATCTCTCTCTCTCTCTTATTTCTCCCTTGAGTCTATCAACTTTTTCCTGAAAACAAACTTTTAAATAATACACACACACTACAAAATGTGACCATAATCAATCAAAGATAACTGGGCTTTTACATGTGTACACAATTCATTCCCCAACCATCTTCCCCCTCAAAGCAAAATCCCTTCTTACTTATGGCAGCGATGAATTTGTCAAAATGGCTGAAGGGGAAGAGTGGCTCTGGCAACTCTCGAAAAAAGAGCTTGAGTGCCCCGGTGATAACGTGAACATCATCCCATCGGCCATCATCAAGATCCAAGCGCTCATCTGTAAAAAGAGATGATAGAATATCAGGTAAGACATCTGTGTCCAATGTGACCGCATTTCTGTTTATGAACATACACAATCTTTTCGATCTTCAGGAGAGGCCCTTCTCTCGCTCTCGCCCCCATCACAAACGCGACTTGTTGGGATGAGGGAGAGGGCCTTCTCTGTGGTGGCCCCCTGACTCTGGAACCCGCTCCTCAGAGATATTAGACAAGCCCCACCCTGGCAGTCTTCAGGAAGAGCTTGAAAACCTGGCTGTTCCAATGTGCCTTCAATGGATGAATGAACAATAATACCCTGACATGATCTGCCTTTGTAAAATGGCCCTCGGTAGCACTTTATTTTACCTGTTAGTGCAATTAAACCTAATTATTGTCCCTCAGATCCCTGTCCAGATACATTACATTGCTCTCTCACCCAGTGTTTGTAAAAATTTAATCTCTGTAACCGGCTCTGCCCACTTTCTGTGTTCAAATATTGTGATTTTATATTGTCTGATGTGTTTATTTATACTGTTTATTGTATTTTATTTTATTTTAATATTTTATTGTTGTATTCTTATAGTTGTACATTTGCATTGTTGTATTGCTGGGCTTGTAAACCACCCTAAGTCCCCTTGGGGAGATGGTGGCAGGGGTATAAATAAAATTATTATTATTATTATTATTATTATTATTATTCTACCTAATGTGTAAGTTAGGTAAAAGTACTATTTAACATGACATGAGTGAATGGTATGACAATTGGACCTCCACCATTTGCGGATTGAACATTTGAGGATTTCATTATTCACAGATTTGAGTAATATGTTCTCTCTAGGAATCTTTAGGCCATCCAGCGCAATGCTACAGTCAGCTCTGCTGGAAGAGGACCATAAATTTGTGCTTGGGGACGTAGAAATTCCTAGAGGTATTTTTGCTGTGTTCTGTTATATATTGTTTTACTGTATTGCTGGGCTTGACCTCTTGTAAGCCGCCCCGAGTCCCCTTGGGGAGATGGTGGCGGGGTATAAATAAAGATGATGATGATGATGATTATTATTCTAGAGCAAGAACACTTTTAGCCAGCATGGCTAAAGGTGATGAGAGCTATAGTTCAACAACATCTGAAGGAAAAGATGGGTTCTATCCCTGCTCTAATGTAATAAAGAACAAAGTAAATTGTGGATGATAACTCCCATATCAGCAGAGTACTAAATCCATTGCAGGCTTTAATGGAGTTCTCCAAGGTGCTGAAACTATGTTCAACACTTTGGACAGCTCCTGAAAAGCTAGCCAAAGCCTGGAGTGGGTTTACAGCCCCACAGATATAATACAAATAATAGTAAAACTTTATTTATACCCCGCTTCATCTCCCCCAGGGGGACTCGGTGTGGCTTACATGATGCCACTCCCATCAGTACAGTACATACATTGTAATACAAAAACATAAAAATACCAGAAAATAAAATACATAAAATGCAAAGAAATATAATAAACAACGCAAACAGTATAAAAACAGGCAATTAAAAACAAAGGATTTCACTGGGCAGGGCCACATTCAAGGCTAAAATTTTAAAAACACTGGGAGATAGGACGATGTAAATTATCAGGATGAGGATCCGAGAATGAGGGAGGATTCAATTGCACGAACCATAAATAAAGTGCTTTTAAGGACGTTTAGTGCAAAGTTTGGTCAGGGAGTTTCTTACATTCAATCACTGAAGGCACATTGGAATAGCCAGGTTTTCAGATTCCTCCTGAAGATTGCTAGCATGGGGGCTTGCCTAATATCTCTGGGGAGTGAGTTCCAGAGCCGGGGGGCCACCACAGAGAAGGCCCTCTCTCTCGTCCCCACAAGTCGCACTTGAGATATTGGCAGGAGTGAGAGAAGAGCCTCTCCAGTGGATCGAAGAGATTGCGTGGGTTCGTAGATGGAGATACAGTCGCGCAGGTAGATGGGTCCCAAACCGTTCAGGGCTTTGTAGGTCAAGACCTGCACCTTGAATTGGGCCCGGAAAACAAACGGCAGCCAGTGGAGTTCCTTAAACAGGACGGTTGACCACTCTCTGTAATTCGCCCCAGTTAATAATCTGGCTGCCACCCAGATTTGGAATTTCCAGGCCGTCTTCAAGGGAAGCCCCATATAGAGAGCATTGCAATAGTCCAATCTAGAAGTAACTAAGGCGTGGACCACCGTGGCCAAATCCGACTTCTCGAGGTACGGTCGCAGCTGACATGACAGCCACCAGTCACTACTGAACAAGTCAGCATTGCTCTGTTAAGTTAGCAGCTAGAGACAGCTAGTCAGTTCAAGGGAAATAAGGTTACTACTTGTTCTCTCTTACTCAAGTACAGCATTTTGAACTTTTCTACTCCCTAATTCTATTCACACTATCCAGCAATGCCACACTAGATCCTTCTTCCTCAAAGTGTTTATTGAGGCCCAAATGACTTTTCCTACCAAATCACAACTGCCAAAGCTCTTACCACGGTCGACCTTGTAGCGCAGTTTCTGTATTGTAGCTAGATTTCCACTTATCCGGTAAAGTCCATCAATATCCAAGCCTAGAAAGAACAGAAATGACAGCATTTTTCTCTAGAGGCCCATAAGACCAATGACTCTTGGTATACATGTTGAGAAACCATGCAAGTTAAGGATATTTGCATATATATTCTTTATTTTGCATGAGGTATTGTGTTACCTAAATGGTTCTGGCCCAGACTACCTGTCCCAACGTATCTCATCTCATGACCCATTACAAAGTTTAAGATCTTCAAAAGAGGTCCTGCTCTCGATCCCACCATTATCACAAATGCGGTTGGTGGGGACGAGAGACAGGGCCTTCTCGGCAGTGGCGCCCCGTCTGTGGAACTCTCTCCCCAGGGACATCAGATTGGCCTCCTCCCTCCTGACCTTTAGAAGACAAGTGAAGACTTGGCTCTGGGACCAGGCGTTTGATTAATCAAATAGCAGCAATTGGAAAAAAGACTTAGGATATTTACATTGACTCTACCTAGACTTGGTTTTGGTTTTACCAGCATGTATAATCTACTGTCTAATGAATTGTATAATGTGTTTGAATGATTTTTAATGTTTTAATGGTTTTTAATGCTTTAATTCTACTTCAAATTGACAGCATCGTATGGTGCTTGTGTGAGGCTGCCCTGAGTCCCTCTTCGGGGGGGGGGGGGGGGGGGGGGGGGGGAGAAGGGCGGGGTAAAAGTGCATGAAATAAATAAAATAAATAAATTTGTGAACTGGGGCAAGAGACTGAGAATTTCTGGGCTTTCTGCTCAATTTTTTTCTGAGCTGTCATCAGACCCAAAGGTTCAGAACCTTAACCTGGCAGGCAAAAGAATTGAATGGTTTTTAAAGAGGGTAACTCTCATGAGGAAACACAAAAAATTTTGAAAAGAAAGTTTAAGAAGAAGCCAGAGTATTATTTACTAGGCTTCACAGACCTGGAATTACAACTTGAAGAAAATGATGACAAATTATTAACATACATTACAACAGCAGCTAGGATTAGCTTTGCTAGACATTGGAAAAAAGAACAGACTCCCATTATTGATGAATGGATAGATAAAGTCAAAGAAATAAGAGACATGGATGAATTAACTTTTTTGATGAGGAAAAATACTGGAAAATCGGTAAAAAGGACAGACTAGACCCTTTTTTATGACTACAAAAATATAGAAGAATAATAAAGGCTAAGAATACATAAATCAGACAAAAAAGTACTTAAAGAAGATCCTGAGGCTGGAGTGGAAGTCATTTTAGTACTGTTTGTGTGTGTTTTTTTTCTTTTTTGGTCTTTTTTGTATTTTTTTGTAATTTTTTTGGACTTTCTTTTTTGACTTTTTTTATTTTTCTGGATTTTCCCTTTTTTCTTTCTTCTTTTTTCTTTTTGGTGGTGATTGGGTTTCCTACTTTTCTATCTTCTTTTGAAATGTTCTCCCTCTTTCCTTGTGTTGATGTTTAAAATGCTTAATAAAAAATTATTTATTTAAAAAAAGAAGGTAACTCTCAGAACCACTTAAGGTAAAGGTAAAGGTAGTCCCCTGACACTAAGTCCAGTCATGTCTGACTCTGGGGTGTGGTGCTCATCTCCATTTCTAAGCCGAAGAGCCAGTGTTGTCTGTAGACACCTCCAAGGTCATGTGGCCAGAATGACTGCATGGAGCACCGTTACCTTCCCGCTGGAGCGGTACCTATTAATCTACTCACATTTGCATGTTTTCGAACTGCTAGGTTGGCAGAAGCTAGGGCTGACAGCGGAAACTCACGCCGCTCCCCGGAATTGAACCTGCGATCTTTCGATCAACAAGCTCAGCAGCTCAGTGCTTTAACCCACTGCGCCACCGGGGGCTCCTCAGAACCACTTAGAACACCCTAATTGGAACGGATAGTATACAGTGTTCCCTCACTTATTGCGGGGGTTCAGTTCCAGGACCCCCCGCAATAGGTGAAAATCCGCAATGTAGGGACGCCATATTAATTTTAATATTTATACATTATTTATATATTATTTTCTTACCCGGGCTTCCTTACCCACCTCCCAGCCCATCCCAAGGGCACCTGCCTGCCTCCGGAGCCACACAGGCAGCAGCATAGAATCATAGAATCATAGAATCAGAGTTGGAAGAGACCTCATGGGCCATCCAGTCCAACCCCCTGCCAAGAAGCAGGCCAGGGAGGCAAGCCTTCTCCACCATACCTCAGACCGCCGCACTTCTGGGGTCCGTGGAGGCCAGGGAGGCAGGCCTTCCCTGCTGTGCCTCAAGCTGCTGCACTTCTGGGGCCCCTAACCTTCACTGGACGTAAATATTTTATATTTTTATTAATATTTTCAAAAACCTGCGAAACAGCGAGCCGCGAAGTAGCGAGGGAACACTGTAAAGCAAATTGAGTCCTGCTCAATTTGCATTGTGCATATCATTGCAAGACTCATAATATGGATTGCCTGGGAAAAGAATCTCAAAGTTATGGATGCAGAGGGGATTGTGTACCTCTCTTCTCCACGGTGGTGATACACTGCTTAACAAACTGAGGCACTGTGCTCTTCTCGCGGTCGCACAGGACTTGTAGAGCGCATCCAAACACCTGATCTGAATCAACAAAACACAAAGCACACCAAATCAGAAACTGAAATCACACATTTTATCTGGCCAGTAAACCAAAAGTTTTATCTCATCGACAGTAACTGGCCTACTGTGGAAAAGTAACACGAGTTATACACATGCTAAAGTATTTATAAGCTACTAGCCATCCCCTGCCACGTGTTGCTGTGGCCCAGTCTGTGTATAGGTAATTTTGTGTGTATATATATATGTGTGTTTGTGTGTATATTTATATATATACTAGCTGTCCCCTGCCACGCATTGCTGTGGCCCAGTCTGGTGATCTGGAAAATAAAGTATTGAGAAAGTGTTAGTTTCTAATATATGTAATTGCTTTATGCTTGTGAGTAAACAGTATTTCTTGTTGTTTCTTTGTCAGTGTTGATGTGGAGAGTGTCTGGTTTGCCTACTGTGGAATATGCAACATATCATAGTCCTTCTTTAAGGGTCTCTTTCAAATCTATGATACTATATCTGTGTGTGTGTGAGAGAGAATCATATCTATCTATCTATCTATCTATCTATCTATCTATCTATCTATCTATCTATCTATCTATCTATATTTATGACTGGATGGCTCTTTGTCAGGAGGGCTCTGATTACATTTTCTTGCCCTGGTGAAGAGAGTTGGACTGGATGGCCTTAAGTATTTTCTGTTGGTCATGGGGGTTCTGTGTGGGAAGTTTGCCTCATTTCTGTCGTTTGTGGGTTTCAGAATGCTCTTTAATTGTAGTGAACTATAAATCCCAGTAACTACAACTCCCAAATGTCAAGGTCTATTTCCCTCAAACTCCATCTGTGTTCATATTTGGGCATATTGAGTGCTTGTGCCAAGTTTGGTCCAGATCCATCATTGTTTGAGTCCACAGTGCTCTCTGGATGTAGGTGAACTACAACTCCCAAACTCAAGGTCAATGCCCACCAAACCCTTCCAGTGTGTTCTGTTGGTCATGGAAGTCCTGTATGCCATGTTTGGTTGAATTCCATCATTGGTGGAGTTCAGAATGCTCTTTGATTGTAGGTGAACTATAAATCCCAGCAACTACAATTCCCAAATGACAAAATCATATTTTTTTGAGTGGAGGACATAAATTGGACTGTTAGGTGTCTTGTGTCCAAATTTGGTGTCAATTCCCCCAGTGGTTTTTGATGGTAGCACGAACTATCATTACATTTTTATTTATATAGATGTGTGTGTGCATGTGTGTATATATTTGTGTATTTCTGTGTTTATATGTGTAAATGTATATTGTGTATATGTGTGTGCTTGTGTATATGCATATATGTGTGTAGGTGTATATGTATGTGTGTATATGTTCATATTTGTGTATGCTTGCGTATATATGTATGTGTGTCTGTATGTATGTATGCGTGCATGTGTATATGTATATGAATGTATGTGTATATGTATATATGGTTTATTGGGGGGGGGGTTAAAGTCCGTTCTGCTGGTATTTTTTGTGTGTTTTTAGGGTTGATGGACACTCGTTGGACTATTAGGTGTATTGTGTCAAAATTTCATGTCAATTCATCCAGTGGTTTCTTAGTTATGTTTCCCCCACAAACGAACATTACATTTATATATATATAGATATACAATTGACCAGTTATCATCAAATGTAAAACCTTCCAAGAAATGTACAAAGGAGTTAAAAAAATTAAACCTTCAATGTGATTTTTATACCTTTGATGTAGCCTCGCTCTCGCAGGGACTGAAGGGTCGGGCGTTTCTGCAGAAACTTCCGGAGCTTATTTCGGACTTTGTTGGTATCGCTGTCTGAGTTGAGGGAACTGGAGGAGTGCCAAGAAGCTGCAGGGGAGTAAGTTAGGCAATTTGTTATGGAGGATGGAGAGATGTCACTGTACAGCTCCATTGAATTTGCTCACATGTTCAAGGGGAGCGGGGAAAGGAAATCTAAGCTTGTTCCTCAAAGCTCGAATGCTAGAAATCTTGCACAGTCTTTGAGGTTGACAATCTCTTTTAGCTGGAATATTTATTTGGTTCAAAAACAGTTTGTTGCTGTTTGGAGTCCTATATACTGTCAGCACCTCTTTCTACACCTTGGCTCAAACATAATAAAGACTGTTGTCAAGCAATCAGAAGATGGCCGACACTTGGAAGAACAGCTATGAAGGAACCAGATAGCAATTCCAAATGCCACCCAATACCCCGGCCGACCGTGCTTGATGGGGTTACACTCCCCCTGAAGGCACAGGTCTGTAGCTTGGGGGCCCTCCTGGACTCAACGCTGTCGCTTGATGTCCGTGGTGACAGTGGTGACAGGGAGGGCCTTTGCACAACTCAAAATTGTGCACCAGCTGTGACCATACCTCATGAAGTCTGACTTGGACAGGGTGGTCCATGCCTTGGTTACATCCAAACTGGACTATTGCAATGCGCTCTACGTGGGGCTGCCCTTGAAGACGGCCCGGAAGTTTGAACTGGTACAACGGGCGGCAGCTAGGCTCCTTACTGGAGCAAACTATAGGGAGCATATAACACCCCTATTAAAACAGCTTCATTGGCTGCTGATAAGTTGCCGAACCAAATTCAAGGTGCAGGTCATGACCTATAAAGCCCTAAACAGTTTGGGCCTTGCCTGTCTCTGCAATTGCATCTCCTTCTATGAACCGGCACGAGCTCTAAGATCTTCCGGGGAGGCCCTCCTCTCTGTCCCACTGCTGTGTCAAGCGCGGTTGGTGGGGATGAGAGAGAGGGCCTTCTCAGTGGTGGCCCCTGTCTCTGGAACGCCCTTCCAAGGGAAATAAGACAGGCCCCATCCCTCCCCTCCTTTCATAAGTGCTTGAAAACCTGGTGGTTTCAACAAGCCTTTGAAAATGACCAGTTTTAACTCAGTCCTACACATTGTTGAATATGGCCTTATTCTTCCTACCAATTACCCAGATCATTTCCTCTAACCGGCCCTGGAATGAACAACCACAGACCCGTACCTAATATTCTTGTTGCCTGCCATAGCGTTGCACTTAATTCCCGGGCCCCCTAGAATTTTTGGGCTTGCACAAATCTTGGCCCGGCCTTTTAAATGTTGAAATTGCCTTGAACAGGCAGGATTACTTTTAATATATGTGTGTTATGGCGACAATTTTTATGCTTATATTTTGTTTTGTTAATCTTATGGTTATGTTGTTTTTACTTTGTATGTTTTGTGATGTTACCTGGGAACCGCTCTGAGTCCCCTCGGGGAGATGGAGTGGTATATAAATGAAGATAGATATACATATATATCTTTTAATACCAAAGACAAATAATCACACAGGTCACAATTTTGATAGATGGAAAAGTGAGATATTAAAGAAATATGAGTCTCATATCTCTTGCACATTCCTATTTATAGATAAACACAATGATCCATCAAATCTAAGGTCCCTTTGAACTTTCACCAAACTTCACATGTATATGACATTTCCATTTTTGATTATGTCAACCTTTCAACCTTTTAAAAATTCCATTCTGAAACTGAGCAACAAATATAACATTTACAAATAATGACACTGACCTGGACTCTTCTTTTCAGCCTCTCTCTCTTTGTTGCTTCCTGGAGTCTCCTTGGATTTCAAGTCTGTGTTTTCCTCCTCCTCTTCCAGAGGGATGTCTGTGGGCTAGAGAAATACAAAGCATCTTTTGTCATGCCAGCTACAATATAATTGACTTTTGCCTTTCTGAAATGACTAAGAGTGCTTCCTGATAACCACTCCTAGCATTACCCATCAAAAGGCACTGTATATATGGTAATCCAAAATCCAAAATAATCTGGAACTCAAAACATTGTTGGTCCCAAGCATTTTGAACATTGTATACTTTCTGTAGACACATCTAATATTCCTAGAAAGTTTGTAATTCTTTTCTGTCATAAAGTCTGCAGATTTCCCTTAAATTACATGAAAAAGAAGTATCTGTCAGGGACTTTATCTGGCATCTTGCTGAATAAAGATTGTGTCAGAAACACCATAGTGACATCCCTTCCCTTCTCACCAGTTTGCTGATGCTGTTCGCAATTGTCTTCTGCCACGTGCCAATGATGGTCTCCGAATCATGCTGGATCAGGTATTCAGAACCATCCCGTGTTTTCAGCTAGAACAGAATTACATTATGATACAACAATTGATAGAACAATCACAGTATTATACAAGTCGAAAGGCCGAACAGGGCATAGGGTTACAGCCTGTGCTGGATGGGGTAACACTCCCCCTGAAGACACAGGTTCGCAGCTTGGGAGTGATCCTGGACTCATCGCTGAGCCTGGAACCCCAGGTCTCGGTGGTGGCCAGGAGAGCTTGTGCAGAATTAAAACTTCCCATACCTTGGGAAGTCTGATATGGCCATGGTGGTCCATGCTCTTGTTACATCCTGAATAGACTACTGCAATGCGCTCTACATGGGGCTGCCTTTGAAGACTGTTCGGAAACTTCAACTAGTCCAACGGGCGGCAGCCAGACTACTCACTGGAAGCATACCACCTCCCTGTTATGTCAGCTCCACTGGCTGCCGGTACACTTCCGAGCACAATTCAAAGTGCTGGTCTTGACCTATAAGCTGGGCCCTATTCAATTCTGGCCCAGCTTACTTGTCCGAACGTATCTCCCTTTACGTCCCACTTGAAATTTATGATCTTCCGGGGAGGCCCTGCTCTCGGTCCCACCTTCGTCACAAATTTATTTATTTATTTATTGTTCGAACTTATATGCCGCCACTCCCCTGGGGCTCGGAGCGGCTTACAAGAATGACTAAAATCTAACACAATTTAAAAACAATTTAAAACAATTTATAAACAGCAATATCAAATGCGCTTGGTGTCGACAAGGGACAGGGCCTTCTTGGAGGTGCCCCCCCCCCTCCGCCTATGGAACCCGCTCCCCAGTGAAATTAAGTCAACTGCTTCCCTCCTTTCCTTTAGGAAAAAGCTGAAGACGTGGCTATGGGACCAGGCATTCGGATAGCAGGCTGATAATAAAAATAATGACAATGCTATGGAAAACGAACTGTGGACTGCCTTCGGATTAGGATGTTCATTGTAGAACTTCGGCTATTTGTAGTATTTTAAATGGTTTTTAATCTAATTAATGTTTTTATTATGAAACCGTTGTTTTATCTGTTGTATACATGGGGCATCGAATTGTTGCCGGCTGTAAGCTGCCCTGAGTCCCCCTTCGGGGGTAGAGAAGGGCGGGGTACAAATAGTCGAAATAAATAAATAAGACAGTGTTGTTGTTCATTCGTTCAGTCGTCTCCGACTCTTCGTGACCTCATGGACCAGCCCACGCCAGAGCTCCCTGTCGGCCGTTACCACCCCCAGCTCCCTCAAGGTCAGTCCAGTCACTTCAAGGATGCCATCCATCCATCTTGCCCTTGGTCGGCCCCTCTTCCTTTTGCCTTCCACTTTCCCCAGCATAATTTTCTTCTCTAGGCTTTCCTGTCTCCTCATGATGTGGCCAAAGTACTTCAACTTTGTCTCTAGTATCCTTCCCTCCAGTGAGCAGTCGGGCTTTATTTCCTGGAGGATGGACTGGTTGGATCTTCTCGCAGTCCAAGGCACTCTCAGAATTTTCCTCCAACACCACAGCTCAAAAGCATCGATCTTCCTTCGCTCAGCCTTCCCTAAGGTCCAGCTCTCACATCCGTAGGTTACTACAGGGAATAAGACAGTGATCCCTCCCTAAATTGCAAATCTCAAGATTCCACAACATGGATCTATAGCAGGCATGGGCAAACCGGCTGTTAGGAATTTTGGAGGTTGAAGTCCAAAACACCTGGAGGGCTGAAGTTTCCCATGCCTGATCTATAGCAGTTAAAGTGAAATCATAGCACTATAACCACATACAGTTGGCCATCCACGTATGTGGGTATAACTTTTGTTGAGTACCACGAGTCTTTGTTTCCTCCTCCTGAATTCTTGCATTACCATCTGCTATGGGATACCCAAACAGGTCACCAGAGATTGTGACCATCTGTTACCTCCAAGACATTCTTTTTGCTTGACTTGTCTTTGGCTGCCCAAGAAAGTGTTGCTCCATGAAGATCCACGGTGTACTCTGGGCAACTCAACACAGAAGGATGTTTCTAAGAGTGAAGCAAAATAAGAGACCATGTCAGAGCGTGAGACTAAATAGTTAGAAATATCAACTTGTAATTACGTTCAATTTTTCAATATAAAAGCCACAACTAAATGACATGACAGTTATAACTCAATGAAGGATCTTTCACTCATTTATTGTATAACTATAACCTTTAGTTACTTTTATATTTATGTGAGGTGGCGTCACTATATGGCAGAGGAGGAACACCACATGGTCACATACTGCCTTGTGTTCTGTGACAAGGCAACAAACTTATAGAAAAGTGTGTTTTATGCCACAAGCAAATGGCATTTTTTAAAAACACAAAAGTAATTATAAAGTTAAATAAGATTTTATTGTTTAGAAAAATGAAAGTACTGTATATACTCGAGTATAAGCCTAGTTTTCTTTTTTAAAATTTTTTATTAAATTTTGAATTTCCATTAAAATATAGATATATAGAAAATTAAGAGAGAAATAAAACAAAACCGAGCAACACAAACCAGCACCACACCAAGAGGGGAAAAAAGAGAGGGGGGAAAAATCAGAAAGGATAGGTTAAAAGTTGTTAGGCTTCCTAATTTCTTCCGGAGGTCTGTAGTCCTTTTCTTCCTCCCTTCCCATCTTCCTGTCTTCCTCCTCTCCTCTCATATTCTTGCTCTTCCTTTTTCCTTTTCCTCCTTTCTTCCTTAACTAGATCAATATCTTTTTATTTCTTTGTCTAAAGTATTCTGTAATCTTTTCCTAGTTTGTCTCTTGCAAATTTATTCCTTTACTTCTTGATATAACCTTGATTCGAGTATAAGCCTAGATTTTCAGCCTTGTTTTTTAGTCTGAAAAAGTTCCCCTTGGCTTATACTCGAGTCAAAGTTATTTATTATCTTACTGTTATTATTATTATTATTATTATTATTATTATTATTATTATTATTGTATTGTCGAAGGCTTTCATGGCTGGAATCACTAGGTTCTTGTGGGTTTTTTCGGGCTATAGGGCCATGTTCTAGAGGCATTTCTCCTGACGTTTCGCCTGCATCTATGGCAAGCATCCTCAGAGGTAGTGAGGTCTGTTGGAATTAGGACAATGGGTTTATATATCTGTGGAATGGCTGGGGTGGGGGCAAGGAGCTCTTCCCTGCTGCAGTTAGGTGTGAATGTTTCAGCTGATCACCTTCATTAGCATTTGAAGGCCTGCCTGAGCCTGGGAAAATCTCTTGCTGGAGTCTACCGTGTACCATGCAGCTGCCTGGACACAGGATATTATTTGAGAACACAGAAATGCTGGACCACTCCAACAACCCCCATGTCAGACTACACAGAGAAGCCATTGAAATCCACAAGCATGTGGACAATTTCAACAGAAAGGAAGAAACCATGAAAATGAACAAAATCTGGCTACCAACAGAGAGGAAACAACCAGGCACAGATTAACACCTCCCAGCAAGAGATTTTCCCAGGCTCAGGCAGCCTTCAAATGCTAATGAAGGTGATCAGTTGAAACATTCACACCTAGCTGCAGCAGGGAAGAGCTCCTTGCCCCACCCCAGACATTCCACAGATATATAAACCCTTCCTAATTCCAACAGACCTCACTACCTCTGAGGATGCTTGCCATAGATGCAGGCGAAACGTCAGGAGAAATGCCTCTAGAACAGGGCCCTATAGCCCGAAAAAACCCACAAGAACCTAATTATTATTATTATTACATTTATTATTTTACTTTATTATTATTAGTACATTTATTATTTTACGGTATTATTGTTGTTGTTATTACATTTATTATTTTACTCTATTATTACTGTTATCATTACATTTCCATTATTACTATTATCATTACATTTCCATTAATTTACTGTATTATTATTATTATTGCATTTATTATTTTACTTTATTATTCTTATTATTACATTTATTATTTTACTTTATCATTGTTGTTATTATTACATTTATTATTTTACTCTATTATTACTGTTATCATTACATTTCCATTAATTTACTGTATTATTATTATTATTATTATTATTATTATTATTATTATTGCATTTATTATTTTACTCTATTATTGCTAGAAGGATACGTAAGCACATTTACAATGAAGAAGGTTAGAATAATGGTTAAATCAGAATTGGGCAATCATCTTAAATTACAGTTATATGTGAATATTCAAAAACATTTAATCTACTGATGCCTCAATTAATGTAACTATATTGGTATCTATTTTTATTTTGAAATTTACCAGTAGCTGCTGCATTTCCCACCCTCAATTCGTTTTCCCAGGGGTTTTTTTTGGGTAGTAAAATTATGTGCCTCAGCTTATATTCGGGTTTGTTTATACTTGAGCATATACGGTACCTACTTTTAATCTCTCTATAACAATGGGTGCATCTGCATTGTAGAAATAATGCAGTTTGATGCTATGATCCAATGCTATGGGATCATGGAAATTATAGTTTTCCAAGGTCTTTTGTCTTCTCTGCTAAAAGTGGCAGAAAACTCAACACTTAGTTAAGGTAGTGTCAAACTGCCTTAGGCCCCTTCTACACTGCCATATAAAATCCAGGTTATCTGCTTTGAATTGGATTATATTGCAGTATAGATTCATATAATCCAGTCCAAAGCAGATAATGTGGATTATCTGCTTTGATAATCTAGATCAGTGGTTCTCAACCTTTCCAATCCCGCGACCCCTTAATACAGTTCCTCAGGTTGTGGTGACCCCCAACCATAAAAGTATTTTCGTTGCTACTTCATAACTGTCATTTTGCTGCTGTTATGAAACGTCATGTAAATATCTGAAATGCATGATGTATTTTCATTCACTGGATCAAATTGGACACAAATACCCAATATGCCCACATTTGAATATTGGTGGGCTTGGGAGGGGATTGATTTTGTAATTTGGGAGTTGTAGTTTTTAGGATTAATAATTCACCTACAATCAAAGAGCATTCTGAACTCCACGTGGCACACAGAACTCCCACGGCCAACAGAAAATACTGGAAGGGTTTGGTGGCTATTGACTTTGAGTTTGAGAGTTGTAGTTCACCTACGTCCAGAGAGCACTGTGGACTCAAACAATGATGGATCTGGACCAAACTTGGCACGAATACTCAATATGCCCAAATGTGAACACTGGTGGAGTTTGGGGGAAATAGACCTTGACATTTGGGAGTTGTAGTTGCTGGGATTTATAGTTCACCTACAATCAAAGAGCATTCTGAACCCCACCAACGATAGAATTGGGCCAAACTTCACACAGAACCCCCATGACCAACAGAAAATACTGTGTTTTCTGATGGTTGTCAGTGACCCCTCACGACCTCCCCAGGGGTCCCGACCCCCAGGTTGAGAACCACTGATCTAGATTATATGGCAGCGTAGAACCAACAAGTGTGTACTTCTTCAGAAACCTTGGAATAATATCCAATTACTTTCACAAATAATTTCCCAATTCCCCCCCCCCCCCAATTATTATAGTTTGATTTTTTTTTTTAAAGATAAAGAAAATCTGTGGCTAGGGTTTGATTCCTTGCTTGGCCATTGAGACACACTGGGTGACCTTCAAAGAGTCACACACTCTCAGCCCCAGAAAGGGTCACTATATGTCAGACATGACTTGAAGGCACACAACAACAGTATACAGAATTGTGTTGAGACAATAGGAAGTGAGAGAAAGCGACCCCTCGGAAGGAAAAATCCCTCCAGAAAAAGTTATTCTGGGGAAAAGGTGTCTCCACTGAAGCTTTTTCACCAATCCTTGTTTTCACAATAAGCCAATTTTTTTCAAAATCCAATTAGCACAGGGACAGAAAGTGAGGCGAAATTTTCTGAACAGGGACACAGACAGAAAAACAAACATCGCAAGGCTGTTAGACCTTCTCTATGCTATCAAAAACTAAATATATATATATACCTTTGGCTGGAATTCCACTTAAACAATATACCTGTTCCGACTTACATATACATTTAACTTAATAATAAATCTACAAAATCTATCTTGTTTGTAACTTGGCGGTGTATATGATTGAGAGTTTGTATGAGATGCAGAATTTAAATGCAAAATTATGAGCTACAGTATAACAATAACATTAACTCATGCATCCAGGTAAAAGATAGTAAGATAGGAAGGTCTGGCCTAATATCAGGACATCAAAACAAGACTGCGAAAGGACTTACCACACCGCCAGAAGCTGAATGCTTGGAGTCCTTGAAAAATGTCAATACACCACCTTCCAAGACTGTCCATGAAGCACTCCAGTTCTTCCTGTAAGAAAACCCAAAGAGAAAGAAAGGATACTTAATTCAATGAGACAGGCCAACTGAGTGACCTGAAACGGAGACTTTGGGGCAAAGGGCTTTGATATCTTTTGGGGGCAGCGGGCTTTGATATATGTTTAGAGGCTGACAGTGAGGAAACTATACAAAATCTTTCACAAATGATGGTATCATGGTGCAGAGGGTGTAACCATTCAAGAAATTTAGGCCCCTTCTACACTACCATATAATCCAGATTATGAGATAATTCAGATTATCTGCTTTGAACTGGATAATATGAGTCTCATACAGGAGGGATTCTGTGTGTGTGTGTGTGTGTGTGCATGTAGGCAGGCACACACACACATCTATATGCACACACATATCTCTACATACTTCATACTACATACATACTACATACTTCAACTCCCAGAAAGCTTACCCATATTGAGTTATGGGAAAGAATTCTGAGAAATGAAGTCCAGTATTCAAAGAAAGGACAAAAACAGGAAACACATGTTCTGTGAGTTAGGAAAGGCTGTCCAGGAAGGCACAATCAAAACACTCCCGAAAGATGGCCATCCATTTTTACTTTATAGCAACCCTGGGCTATAATGTCTACAATAATAATATCTATAAGTCATATATATATATGTGTGTGTGTGTGTGTGTGTGTGTGTGTGTGTGTATATATGATACATGTCTATAATAATATCGGTATGCCCGTAATAATAATGTCTATATGCCTTTAATAGTATCTATAGGTCTATAATAATATCCATATGTCTATAATAATAATATCTGTCAATGATATCTATACATCTATAATAATAATAATTTCTATATGCCTATAATAATATCTATGTCTATAATAATAATAATAATAATAATATCATCTATATACATATAATAATATGTATACATCTATAATAATAATAGCTAAATAATAATAATAATAATATCTATATGCCTATAATAATACCTATAGGTCTGTAATAATATCCATACATCTGTTGCCCATTTTTTCTCAAAATATATTTAGCCCTGTGCTCCTTCTATTTTTATACTAATTTATGCAATGCTTTTGATACGAAATAAATAAATAAATAACATCAATAATAATAATAATACCTATATGCCTTTAATAATAATATTTGTGTCTATAATAATATCTATATGCCTATAATAATATCTATACATCTATAACAATAACAATAATATTATTACCTATATAGTATCTTTGAATTGGATTATATGGCATTGTGGACTCAGGTAACCCAGGGCCCTTCCACACATCCATATAACCCTTTGGCCTCAAGGAGACTGAAATGGGCCTATATTAGGTTGACACTTTGCCACTACAGTTCTGTATTGATAACTTAGAAACCAGCTCTTTCTCTTTTCTTTCTTTCCCATTTCTCCACAATGGGCAACAGCAACGCGTGGCCGGGTACAGCTAGTCATAAATATTTTCTCACCTGACACTAGATGGGGCAGTATCTCCTCTGCATTTAAAATCAGAATATCACCACAACTGTAGGTTTTGCAAGGAGAGGAGAATAGCACAGAAAACTCTGGAATAGAGGTGGTTTATATAGAAGCACAAAGACCAATCCATGAAGAAAAGAAGGCAGCAAAAGGATTGAGTATCTTGACATGTAAATGCTTAGTAGTGGCTTTCCTTCAGAGAAAGAACGGACATTAGAAAGATACCCAACTCACAGTTTTTCTGCATTTATTTTATTTATCGTGTCAGTAGCAACCAGACATTTGTATTACATTTTTAACAAAACAAACAAACAAACAGACAAAACTCAAAGTTTGCAAGCTTGGTAGTTGATTAAATGTCTTTGACCAGTATCTGGACACTTGGAGTGCCTCTTGTGTTGCCGCAAGGAGGTCCTCCATTGTGCATGTAGCAGGGCTCAGGTTGCATTGCAGCAGGCGGTCAGTGGCTTGCTCTTCTCCACACTCACATGTCGTGGATTCCACTTTGTATCCCCATATCTTAAGATTGGCTCTACATCTCATAGTGCCAGAGCGTAGTCTGTTCAGCACCTTCCAAGTCGCCCAGTTTTCTATGTGCCCAGGGGGAGTCTCTCATTTGGTATCTGCCATTGATTGAGGTTCTGGTTTTGAGCCTGCCACTTTTGGACTCTTGCTTGCTGGGGTGTTCCTGCGAGTGTCTCTGTAGATCTTAGGAAACTATTTCATGATTTAAGTTGTTGATGTGCTGGCTGATACCCAAACAAGGGATGAGCTGGAGATGTCACTGCCTTGGTCCTTTCACTATTGGCTGCTACTTCCTGGCAGATGTCAGGTGGTGCAATACTGGCTAGACAGTGTAATTTCTCCAGTGGGGTAGGGCGCAGACACCCCGTGATAATGTGGCATGTCTCATTAAAAGCCAACATCCACTGTTTTAGCGTGGTGAGATGTGTTCCACACTGGGCATGCATACTCAGCAGCAGAGTAGCATAGCGCAAGGGCTGATGTCTTCACTGTGTCTGGTTGTGATCCCCAATTTTTCTGCAAAGAATGACTCTTGTAAAGGGAGTGCGAGAAAAGAGAGGAGAAACTCTCAACATATGCTGGCAAGACAGTTCCTTCGGTTCCTTTATGAAAGCAGGGAATCCAAAGAATGCAATAATACCAAGGCCAACAAAATGCAGAGCAGAAAACCAACCGATATATTCAAGAATTTAAATCACCCACGTGCCAAGGAAATTAAAACATATAAAAAAATCTTACAAGACCTGGTTGAACAAAAGAGCATTAACCTGATATGGAATAGCAGATTGGCAAGAGGACTTTCCTTTGATTCTATAATAACTTGGCCAAAATATAATAACATAAGAAAGTACTCTTCAAGTACTGGTTGAATGTTTCTCCTGGCTTTTCTGCTCCTTCCTTGTAAAAAAGGATAACTTGGATGTGGTTCAGTGTAGTGCTGATTGAACGAGTCACTTCTTCAATGCACATTTGCTAGATTGACACAACAGCAAACTCTGATTTATGCTACAGCAGAAAATGTCAACACCCCCCCACCCTCCCCATTTATTTACCAAGCCCAATGAGATATGCATTGTGGGCAAGCTTTCTGGATTTCCTCATCAGGCAAGATGTCGCAAAAAGCATGTGGAAGTGAGAAAGAGGAGAAGGCAGGGACAGACTTCATGGTGAAATCATGATGTCTGCATGGTTGGATCTCAAAATAATAATCCTGAGAAGCAGCAAACTTCAACAGCCTTTCCTCCTTTTTTCTCCTGATACTTTTTATACACTTTATAACACTTAACCCCAAAGATTCTCTGGGCATGGCTGTGCAAAAACAAACAGACCATATGACGCTGTGAAAGACTAAAAGATTTATTGTGCTATAAAGTTTGCTGCTTCTCAGGATTATTATTTTGTAGCTCCCATTGTTTAAACAAATGAAAACAAACTATTACACAAGGTAACAACATTTGAAAAAATATCTGTTCCTGGTTTGAAAGTATTACTCCTGTTTAATTGTGCTGTGCTTACTTTGAAGGTAATAGTTATACCCCAGAAACTTTGTTTTTGTGGCTGCCACAATGAGATATTCATTGGAAAACTATAGCAAAATGTGCTGCAAGATGTCCCTCTCACAAAAAGCAAAGTTACTGCAGTTTAATAAACTTTTCCCATGTTTTTATGATAGAAGCAATTAGGAAATGATGCTGATAACCCAGGAATATAGTATTATTGGAATTATCACTTTCACACCCTGCTGCACAGCACTACACTCACGTTTTGTTGATGCAAATTCCCACCATCAGTTTTTGCACGCAATCTCACTTCCTACCTATGTTCACTCTACTCATCAAATCAATATTGCATTTTTTCTATTTCCCTCCCATTTTGCCACAATTATGTGTGTGTGTGTGTGGTTGTCCCCTGACATTAAGTCCAGTCATGTCTGACTCTGGGGTGTGGTGCTCATCTCCATTTCTAAGCTGAAGAGCCAGCGTTGTCCATAGACACCTCCAAGGTCATGTGGCCAGCATGACTGCATGGAGCGCCGTTACCTTCCCACCTGAGCGGTACCTATTGATCTACTCACATTTGCATGTTTTCGAACTGCTAGGTTGGCAGAAGCTAGGGCTGACAGCGGAAGCTCACGCCGCTCCCCGGAATCGAACCTGCGACCTTTCGATCAACAAGCTCAGCAGCTCAGTGCTTTAACCCACTGCACCACTGGGGGCTCCGCCACAATTATACAGTTGTGTATTTTCAGCATTCTCATAAAAGCTTTCTCGGCTAAACAATATCAGTATTTCAGGAATTTATTGCATGAGAAAAAGTAGTATAATAATAATAATAATAATAATAATAATAATAATAAATGCAGACTGTGCAAGGAAGCTGATGAAACCATGGACTATATCCTCAGCTGTTGCAAGAAAATCGCACAGATGAACTACAAACAAAGACACAACTCTGTGGCCCAGATGATTCACTGGAACTTATGTCACAAGTACCACCTGTCAGCAGTAAAGAATTGGTGGGATCATAAACCCACAAAGGTCATGGAAAATGAACATGCAAAAATACTGTGGGACTTTCGAATCCAGACTGACAAAGTTTTGGAACACAACACGCTAGACATCATGATTGTGGAAAAGAAAAAAGTCTGGATTATTGATGTCGCCATACCAGGTGACAGTCGCATTGAGGAAAAACAACAGGAAAAACTCATCTGCTATCAAGACCTCAAAATCGAACTGCAAAGGCTCTGGCATAAAGTAGTACAGGTGGTCCCAGTCATCATTGGCGCACTGGGTGCCATGTCAAGAGATCTCAGCTGGCATTTGGAAACAATAAACACTGACAAAATCACGATCTATCAACTGCAAAAGGCCACCTTACTTGGATCTGCGCGCATCATTCGAAAGTACATCACACAGTCTTAGACGCTTGGGAAGTGTTCGACTTGTGATTTTGTGATACAAAATCCAGTATATAGATCTCGTTTGCTGTGACATA